ATACAGTGGTACCTCGGGTTAAGTACTTAATTCGTTCCGGAGGTCCGTTCTTAACCTGAAACTCTTCTTAACCCGAAGCACCACTTTAGCTAATGGGGCCTCCTGCTGCCGCTGCACCGCTGCTGCATTCTTTCTGTTCTCATCCTGAAGCAAAGGTCTCAGCCCGAGGTAATATTTCTGGGTTAGTGGAGTCTGTAACTTGAAGCGTATGTAACCTGAGGCGTATGTAACCTGAGGTACCACTGTACTATGGTTGACCTCTGCTTTCTCTCCGACTGATAGAGATCTCCTGAGGGACTCTATACAGTGGTGCCTCGCAAGACGAAATTAATCCGTTCCGCGAGTCTCTTCGTTTTGCGGTTTTTTCGTCTTGCGAAGCACGGCTATTAGCGTCTTAGCGGCTATTAGTGACTTAGCGGCTTTTAACGGCTTAGCGGCTATTAACGGCTTAGCGGCTTTAAGAAAAAGGAAACAAACTCGCAAGAACTCGCAAGACGTTTCGTCTTGCGAAGCAAGCCCATAGGGAAATTCGTCTTGCGGAACAACTCAAAAAACGGAAAACCCTTTCATCTAGCGAGTTTTTCGTCTTGCGAGGCATTCGTCTTGCGGGGCACCACTGTACAGGCTCTGGATACCCCATAAGAGAATTAGGGGTATTTTTCTTATAACAACAGTCACTTGCTGGCCTCTTTCCCCACCCCAGCAACTTAGCCAGTGACTCCTACTTCCTTCCAGCCAAAGTTGTGAGACAGGGGTTTCTGGGAGCTGGCACCACTTGGCCCATGTGGAGGAAGAGAAGGGGGCGGTGCATGGGCCCAAGACGAGAGTGTGACACCATTAAAAAATGCATCATTGGTCTCATGCTCTGCCAGAGCCAAAACAGGACATCCCAGGATGGCATCAGAAGCTGAGGTGGCTTCTGTAATTCTGGGATGTCCCAGGACAGTTAAGCAATATGAAGCCACTCCAACTTTACCTGGAGCTACCAGGGATTGAACCTGGGACCTTTTATGTGTCAAGCAGGTGTTCTATGACCACTAAGCTATGGCCCTTCTGCATGTAAGTTATTCACAGAGCATGCTTCTCTTTCCCCCCCAGATATGCTTAATTTTATGTTTTTTGACTAGCTATGTGAAAAGGTGAGCCCTATCATTCAAATGGCAAACTCAGGTGACAAGTGATGCTAAGCAGAGAAACAAGCAGGGCCACTGGGAAACAATAGGGAGGCATGAGCTGCTTGAGCAAATCCCACATTTTGCGGGGGGGGGGGCGGGTACAGTTCCCAGGATTCTTGAGTGTGTGTGCTCTAAATACATTTTGACTCTATGATGTATACAAAGCCTCAAAATCACCCAGAGATCTAGCAGTCGGTCCCTGTTTGCTCCCTTCTGCTTTATACAAACCAGAGTTTTAAGAAAATGACCAAGTTGCTGCTATTATTATTATTATTTTATAAGCATGAGATTTTAAAACAACAACTGCTGCCAAAAACTGCAGAGAAAAACACTTAAGAAAAACAGGACAAGGAACAAGTAAAGTTGTGACAACCAGGGAGACGAAATCCACCAGAGTTCAAGATGCCGCAAATGCAGGAAATGACAGCAAGGAATACTTGACTTTCAGGAATGCTGGGAGGATCCTCTTGCTGAAAATTGGCTGTTAGGCTGGAGAAGCATTAAATAAGATGTGGCGAAGAAGTTTGGGTTTTGCAAATGTAATGCAAGATTGTATTTCCACAGAAAACGTGCAAAAAAAATAATGAAGCCCTTTTGTGGATGTTGCTTGCCAGATCAGGGTTTTGAATTTAGGAGTATGAAGTAAGATAACTCATTCACTCTTTCGGTGGTTCTTTTGTTTTCAAGCTAAGGAAGGCTTGTCTTGGCACAAAGGTGTCTTGCTTCTGAGACAGCAAAACAGGTCCTGGTGAAGCCTAGCTGCAGAATAAGGACAAAGGCACAGCTGGGCAGGGGCAGCCTGCCCTGTTTTGCCTCCTGAGGCAAAATGGGAAGGTGGTGCTGCCTCACAACCAAAGCCTTGCTTAGCAGAATCAAATGGCACGGCTGCAGTTTCCAGATTCTGGCAAAATTAAATGAGAGGATCTCGCCGAAACCTGGCTGCAGATGCTTCTCCAGTGGCAGTGGCAACAGAGGAAAGGCCACCCCCTCCCACTCTAGGGGAAGTGAGAAGTGGCTGTCGCTTCTCCTCAATTCTCCGTCACCTTCACGAAACACACATGGCCTCAATATCTTGGTCAGCAGTGGAGTCTTGTCCATTGAAGCAAATGGGGCACTGCTCTACAACATGGGATTCTGCTTTCAGTTGCACTTTTTAATTTTTCACAACTGACCTATCCTTCTGAGGGGACGGGGAGAGGGATCCCTCCAGACTGGTGGTTTTGGGCAGGTGTATTCTTGGGTAGCCATATGTCTGGGGAAACCCAGACATGTGCTCTTTTGGAGGGCCAACATGCCCACCCAGGCAGATTGTTACATTTTAAAGGAAATGTACGAGTTTTTCGGGCTTGGGCTTGCCCGGCTCTGCACACTGTAGCTGCTGCTAGCCTGAGCCAGAGAAGGAGGCGTGCAGACACAGCGGTGGCCCTGTTTGCCCACATGCCTTTCCCCCCGGGCTGGCAACAGCTCAGGCTGTTCTCTCTTTTGCTCTTCAAGATAGGGCAACCCTAGGTATTCTGCAACTTGCTATTAATGTAATGATAGTGCATCAGTAGTGGATTTATCCTGGACTCTCCATACATCATTCTGCTTTGTTAGTTATTCTGCAAGGCTTCCCTCAGCCATCTGGAGAGGTAACTCTTGTGCTATACCACAACAAAAGTGGGACAAAATAAAATAAAAAAATCAGAACATTTGTGGCATAGAAAGTTAACAGGTTTTCAGCAGGAAGCTACAGGAAATTTGCCAGTTGGAAACAGAGAAGGATTGCCCCATAAATTTTTGCAGGTGCAAACTGTATTCAGAATGGGATGGTGCCGGGGCAAGAGAAGTGTTGCGCCCCCTAACCCATGGGACGTTAGCAGTCCATGAGTTCCTTCCACCATTCCAGTATTGAATAAAGTAAATGAAATACTCTATCACACTGACTTCTGTATCTTCAATGTGCACATATCAAATCACTTGAGACAAGCACAGCGGAGAGCAAAACAGGGAATTGTTTGGAAGTGAACTTCTTTCTAAAGCCTGTGCAGAGGGTGCCTTGGCCACCACCCAAATCTGCTCCTCAGCCCAAAATATTGGGAGATTTTCTGTGTGAAGGGGTGGGCGTGCTGTTTAATATGTATTATTACTACTTCCACTCCTCTCTTTTTTGACAGTTTTCACCCCCTAAGAATTTTGAGCCCAGGGCAACTACCCCTGTGACCCTGCCCACACAACGCCACTGGGATGGCTTATGACCTGATATCACAGTGAACACAAATATTCATGAAATTACAATAAAAAAGGATGCCTCAGGGCCCAGAAACAAAGTGGAAAAGGCAAGGGAGGGTTTTCAGTTAAAAAATTAAAATAGAATGCATGGCTACTTAGGGACTCCTCCAGCAGAAATCCCTGGAACTTCCCTTGTCATTCCTTTTTGCTAAAGGCTGGTTAGTTTCTTGCTTTCTAACACTGTCCAGTATCAAAGCAATGCAGCAGGAAGCCCAGGTAAAACTGCTCTGGTGAGCAATATGAAAGCGTACAAGGTAGGCTCTGAGGGGCTCGTTTTCCTTTCAAGGAAGGCTGGAGATATCTCTCTCAGGAGGTGGGCCTGAAAGCTTTGGGTTGCTTTCGTTGGCTTTTCCTTCAAACATCATGACCCTGAAAGAAAAGCAAAGAAACAACAGAAGAAAACCTGTTAGGAAGAGCTAGGGTACAAATCTAATGACTAGCAACCTGTTGCTTGGGAATTCTCAGTGAGCAAAGAATCATTGCAGTTCTGGAGTCAGGGCTCCTTGATCTCGGGAACCATCATGCATTGATTACGATATCTGAAGAAGCACCCAGCTGCATAGCCAAATTTCCAAAATATAGATATAAAGGTAATAATAATAGTACAGTGGTACCTCGGGTTACATACACTTCAGGTTACAGACTCCGCTAACCCAGAAATAGTACCTCGGGTTATGAACTTTGCTTCAGGATGAGAACAGAAATCGTGCTGCGGCAGCAACAGGAGGCCCCATTAGCTAAAGTGGTGCTTCAGGTTAAGAACAGTTTCAGGTTAAGAACGGACCTCCGGAACGAATTACTGTAAGTACGTAACCCGAGGTACCACTGTATTATGTCCTTAAATGAAACTTGTGTTTATCTAGCATTAGCCAGCAGAGGGCAATATTGTTCACTAGGAGTCACCCCAGAATCCTCCACTCCAAAACTTTGGCTCAAATTCTGTTTGGGGTGTGAATGCAAAGTGATCCATCCTGCTCCCAGGGGGAGCAACGAGAGGAGGAAACAATCTTATCATTGAACCACTTGATGCAAACGAAGCAAGACAAACAGCTCTTTATCCTCTGTGTCCCGTTAGAAGTTTATGGTGTACTTTTGCTAGGCACACTCATGGTCATAAACTGCTATTTTTAATAACAGTATAAAAATGCTGCTTCTTATGGAAACAATGCATTGCATTTTAGGGTCTTAGTATGAAGTATAGATATTCAAAAGAGTGTTTAGATCTGTTCACATGGGTTATATTGGAATCCCTCCAAACAACCCTGCAAGGTAGGCCCAGCTGGGACACAGGTGGAGAATCTTCTTCAGCCTGAGGGCCACAACAACTTGGCCCCTGGGCCTGCAATTCCCCACCCTTACCCTGGAGCCACATTGCAGCAGAGGCATTGTGGGAAATCACCATGGCGATGCCAAGCTACCTCGTTCTCCTTTTACTGCTGCTGTTCTCCACCACTGCCAGATACAGGCTCACGGACACAAGATGTGGCCTGCCAGAGACTCTTTTGCCAGACCCTCCCTCAGACCTAGAGCTGCCCCCTCCCCAAGGAAATGCACAGTGGTGGGTCAGCCACCATCCCTTCCTAAAACAGCAACATGCCGCTTGAAAGTCTTAAGGCTGCAGCTATTGTATTTTGCCCCACCCCACTGGTCAGCTTTTGAATTAACAGGCTGAAGGGGAAACTCAGTAAATGGACGGAAATATCCCAGAAGGCTTTGCAACAGGCACCACTTCACACACTGACAGCCGTGGGCACTTCAACAGCTACCTCGGCCCTCACTGTCTATTGTTTGCAGATGGGGAGTCGGCTTCTGGAACGGGAGCGGAAACCGAGACAGGAGGCCAGAGACAATGAGTGGCTTGTTTGCGTGCTCATTTCTGAAAAAGGGACCTGTGTCTTCTGAGGGCTATTCATGTCGGTATAGGGACAGGAGTGGGGGAGAGAAAACTGGCCTCCTCTATTCCTCAGCAAACAGAGACAGAAGCCAACTTGAGAAGGAGGGTAACATGAGGAGATAAGAAAGAGCCCTGATGCACCAGGCCGAAAGGTTTTGCCGAGTCCAGGATTCAGTTTCCCACAGTGGCCAATCATATGCCTCCTGGATTCTCACAGCCTGGTTGCAAAGACTTGAGGATATAAGAAGAGCCCTTCAGGATCAGGCCAATGTCCCATCTGATCCAGCATTCTGTTCTTATAGTTGCTACCCAAATGTCTGTGGGAAACCTGCAAGCAGAATCTGAGCACAACAGCCCTCTCCCCTCCTGTGTTTTCCGGCAACTGTCATTCAGAAGCATTGCTACCTCCAGCTGTGGAGGCTGGGGGAAGAGGGGAAAAAACCCTGTTCAGCCGCTGCCAGTTAGTGTAGACAGTACTGTATTGAGCTAGATGAACCAAAGGTCTGATTCTGGGTAAGGCAGTTTCCTTCGGTCCGAAGGCCAGAAAGCAGAAGATTGCAGCAGTCAAGGCCTCAGCCCTGAGCAGCAAGCAAAACTCAGTAATGGCAGAAGATGAGCTGGCTAAGAGTGGGACTGATGTTCTGCTGGCTGAAGAACAGAGCCCGGTTTCAGTCACCACATTCAAAACTCTAAGCCAGGGCACTCAAAGATGCCTTCCCCTGAGCCCAGTTTACATGGGTGAGGGGTCACGTACTTCCCGATCCATAGCACCTGTCTAACAGCGCAAGGAACACAGCAATAATAATAATAATAATAATAATAATAATAATAATAATAATAATAAATTTTATTTATATCCCGCCCTCCCCAGCCGAAGCTGGGCTCAGGGCGGCTAACAACAATCAAATAACCAAATAGTTGAATAATCACACATTCTAAAATATTTCATTATAAAAATTAATTAAAATCAAATTGATGGCAACCAAAATACTGTGCAGGTTGCCAGAGGAGGGAGTCAGGCTGCGCCCTGACCAAAGGCCTGGTGGAACAACTCTGTCTTGCAGGCCCTGCGGAAAGATGTCAGGTCCCGCAGGGCCCTAGTCTCTTGTGACAGAGCATTCCACCAGATTGGAGCCGCAGCCAAGAAGGCCCTGGCTCTAGTTGAGGCCAGCCTAACCTCTCTGAGGCCTGGGACCTTGAGGATGTTTTTATTTACAGACCGTAGGTTTCTCTGTGGGGCATACCAGGAGAGGCGGTCCCGTAGGTACGAGGGTCCTAGGCCTCAGAGCCTAGGTCCTAGGCAAGCCAGAAGCCACACAGAGAGAGGGAGACGCACTTGCCTTTAGGAGCTTATCCCTTTGAGAAGTCGTGCCTCTCAGGTGTGAGGGGCAGAGCCTAGGATGGGAGAGGTAACCTGGTCAGAGGGAGTGAGAAGGCCTCAATCAACCTCCAGCTTTCCCTTGGAGCAAGCTGTGCAAACAGAGCTATTTGAGGTGCTGCCATGGATGCTTCAGCTCAGATTCCTGCATTGCAGGGGGGTTGGACTAGATGACCCTTGGATACCTTCCAGTTCTACGATTCTATGATACTATGAGTCTTGATCTCAGGGTTCCTTCCACTTCAGGGTCAGATGGCGCTGTGCCAATCATTATGCTAAGTGACCCATTTGCCCTGATGGGCCAGCCTCCACTGGAGCTCAGTCACCCCAAAACAAACCTCTATTCCTTCCCTCTTATTATGGATACTCACAACTTGAGGACTGCGGACCGTTTCCCAAGCATCAGGTTGACAAAATCTTGGTAAGAGATGGTGTCGCTGACACCTCCGGTGATTTCCGAGATCATTTTCTTCAGCTCCAGGTGGGTTTTGGGGGCTCCCAGCTTCTCCATCATCCTCTTCACTGACATCAGATCTACAAGGAATGATAACAAGGGGTGATGAGTGGTACAGACAATGAGGGACACGACTTCATAGTGCCTGATAGAGATGGATTAGGCATGGGAGACCGTTCCCCCTCCACTCTAGAAGATTCCTTAGAACCAACTGTGCCTCTAGTCAATTCTGAATGGCTATGATGGCTACTATAATAATAGCCAGGGCATATTTTTTTCCAGCCAGAACTCACTGGAACTCAGTTCCGGCACCTCTCAGGTGGGCACCATTGCCATTATAAGAGAACAAGGGAGATATTCACTGTGAGCTCCAGCACCTCTTTTTCTAGAAAAGGAGCACTGATAATAGCATTAATTTATATATTTTAGAGAATTCAAACACCTCTGTGCAAGCCACAGAGTGGCTTACAACAGGCTGACAGATTTTTAAAATCCATAAAATAACACTATCCTTAAAAATACATAACAAATCACTAAAGAACACTTGCACAATCAGGCCTCACCTCCTCCAAATGTCAACCAAAAAAATCTGCATATTAACCAGCCACTTTAAATGATGAAGAGATGGGGCCAGACACACCTCAGTAAGGAGGGAGTTTCACATACAAGGAGCTGCCACTGAAAAGGCCCTTTCCTGGGGCCCCACACCATGAACGTCACATTGAGGAGGGACTACCAGGAGGGCCTTGTCCACTGATCTTAGAAACCAGGTAAGTCAATACACACAGGTAGGTCAATAATAATTAAATGTATACAATGGATGGGATTCAGGGATCCACTGTACCAAGGGTTGTAGAGAACCTCTGGCCCATAGGTCAGAATTGGCCTGCCAGGACTTGCTGTTTGGCTCACCAAGCCATTTTTCTGTGTTCCTGTGTTCAGCCCTTCTTGGTTCAGGCATGCTAGCCAATTCGTAGGTAGAATTGGCTCATGCATCCGAACCCTGCAGAAAGCAAGAGTGAACACCCCATGCATCATACTTGTACAGTATCTACCCCAATGCCCAAAAAGCTACCTCTGACAGGTGTTAGGAACAACCCACCTGCCAATCAACTGCCATCAGATGGTTAGCTGGTGGATTGTCCCACCAAGATGGGGGGAATGACAACCTGGTCCACTAGGTCAGAAAGGTTCCCCACCTCTGCATTCCCATTAACAAGGCTCAGCATAACCCAGGAGTGGAAGCTTTGCAAATTTTAACAGAAGCCGCTCACCAATTTCACCTTGGTTGTTCAGGTCGAACTCCATGTACTTTTCTATAAAATAAAAGGAACATGTTAGCACAATCAAAACTTCTACCTGGCACCCTGCCACCTCCACTTGTCTTCAAAACAGCATCACAGTAGGGAAGGGAAATAAATTCAGTCTGGCTCTCGCTTTCTGAATCTGCAATTTGCAAACTGAAACCCCGTTACCCTTCAAAATTTGCTCCTCCCTCGAATTTTGCAGTGCAGTTCTCAAAAAGAAAAGATACAGAAAAATGCATTCTATTAAGGGAAAATGCTTGCAAAAATATGTATATGAGGAGGATTGCACACGTGGAACACAGGAAACTGCCTGATACAAAGCCAGACCATTGGGTCCATCTAGCTCAGTACTGTCTTACACTGACGGGCAGCAGCTACCCGGGTTTTCATGCAGGGATTCCTAGCAAGCCCTCTTGGAGATGCTGGGGATTGAACCTGGAAATTTCTGCATATAAGGAAGATGCTGGTGTGTTTTTTGAGGCCTTCTCAAAAAAAAAGAAAAAAGAAAGTAAACTCAAACAGATGTGGGAATGTGGTGAACTGAACTTATAACTGGAGTAAATGGAAAAAGAAACTGACATATTTGTCCATCACTCCTTCAGGATCCTGTGTACCTGTTGGAAAGAAAATATAAGGGAAGATCCCTTTCATGGACCTTTCACGCCATGTCTATTTTGGCCAATTGTAGAAGGACCCTGTGAGATCTGTAGAACTTGTGCCCAGGTTGGCATCTGTAGAGACTGCAGCCTTGCTGCCTGTTTACTTGGAGGTTGGTGCCAGTAAGTTTTCCAAAGCATACAAAACCTTGCAAGCCATCTATCTCTCTGCGTTTGCAAAATCCACATTTTTGTTTTTTGGTTAGAGGTCCAATAGAATAATCAACAGCACCACTTCCCACCCTGCTGGAAAATTCCCCTGACAGATTTTCTGCTGATGCTTTCTTTTCTCTTCTTTTCTTTTTAAGTAACTTTCCCCAACTTAGAGCCCTGTAATAATTCTTCCTTTTCTTTCTTTTTCCTTTTGGGACCTTGGTTTCAGGCTTAAAAACTAAGCCACTTGATAGCTATCATCCTCGCTGGGCACTTAGCCCATGTCACAAAAAAGGAGGCTGGCAGGCATATTCCGTGGACCAGTCAGAAAGTACCCCCTCCCTCGATGGGGTTGTATGTGTGTGCTTGCGTGTATGAAATGGGTGCCATCTAGAATCACAAAGGCCCTTTAAGACAGGCCCAAACGTACTACGACAACCCAATTAGCCCATATGGCAGTTTAGAGGCTCTAATTGGGTACCCCATTCAGAGGCTTTTCTTGGAGGTGGGACAGAACTGCTCTAGGGATGTCAGAGAATTCTGACAAAGCAGGAGCAGAAATTGCCAATGTTCGCTTATTTGTACCATGTCTGGAACGGAAATAAATCCAGTGAATGCAAGTGGTATTCACTGTTGTTGCTTTTAGTCCACTAATGATATGTAATTGATTATGTTAAAAAAATAGACCCACACATGCCCCCCCCTTGCACTGCATTCCCCCTTGCATTGAAATGAATGAGCTAGGATATTGCAAGGGCAATTGTGCAGTGAAGTTTTGTAATTTCGCCACAACAGAGCGCGAGAGGAATAGCATAGTTTTTGGGCAGGAGATGAACTGCAGCAGAACAGAAGTGCTACCGCATGTGATAAACACAGGGCAGAATTGGAAAAGATGCCTTCCTTCATCTCCACACAGTTTATTACCTGTGGCATACTCTGGGAGGACTGGGTCCTTTTCTGAAGCTGGTGGCCACACTGATGGGCAAAAGCACAATCCAGCCTTGCCTAAACCAGCAGCATTTTTTTCCTAGGTCTAGCTGGGAATCCTGGAGAATCACTTCCAGAGCTTCTTGGCTTGCCTGATTCAATTGCATGGCTTCCTTCACATTAAATATACCCCACTCTCTAACACTATGGGGCACCACCAATAGAGCACATGATATGCATGCAGAAGGTCCCATGTTCTATTCTCAGAAACTCCAGGTACAGACAGGAACATGGAAAGATGCCATTGGTCCATCAAGCTCAGTATTGTCTACACTGACAGCAGCTCTCTGGGGTTTAAGGCAGGGCACCCTCCTTGGAGATGCCAGGCATTGAACCCGGGACCTTAGGCATGAAGGGCAGATGCTTTGCTACTGGGCTATAGATGCTCTTGATGAGCGTAAGAAGCTGCCTTACACGGAGTCGGACCAATAGTCCATCTAGCTTAGTATTGTCTGCTCTGACTGGCAGTGGCTCACCAGGGTTTCAGGCACAGGAAATTCCCAGGCTTCCCTGGAAATGTGGGGAATCGAACCTGGGACTTTCTGCATGTAAAGGATATTCTCTATAACTGAGCTATTTCCCTTAGAAATGAAGATTCCAGTTCTGGATTAACAGCTGGTTTTAATAAGGAGTTGTCTATGGGCTTGATGCCGGAGGGCTGTTCTTAGAATCATAGAGTTGGATTCTATGATTCTAAGAACAGCCCTCCGGCATTCTTATAGCACCTGATCCTTGAATCTAGAAAGTTAGCATGCCCTTTAGATTGCTAGGTTAGAATGTCTCTTACTGATACTCTAGCTTTCTATGTGAAAGGGTTTTCTTTTGGTAGTACAGTATAGAGAAGCATTCAGTTGTGTGATTCCCCACAATGCCACTCTTGATCAACTAACCGCACAGCCTGTTATTTGTGTAACCCGGTTCTAAGTTGCTCTCTGTGTGTTGTTGTCTCCCACCCCCAAATCTATTTCTGTCCATTGAGAATCCAGTTTTCGGAAGCACAGCAGTGAACAAGACATGCTTTTTTTAAAAAAAAAAAAAAACCAAAACCCTCCCCCTCCTCAAGCCCCTTCTCAGCAGTCTAAGCTTTCCTGTGTAGGGTCCAAAGGTTCCGTCTTTCATCCCCCGTTCAATGGGGCAAAATCTTGCCTTAGTACGCACACGGACAGACACAAATAGCTTTGACACAAATGCCAATTCTGCAGATGGGCTCTTGCAACTTCTCATGCCCAGCGGGGGAGAAGGAGGCCAGAACAACAGGGTGATTGTTGGGAGACCCGGAGAAGGCGTTTGGCAGCAGCCTGAGCGACTCTAGGCTGAACGGGAGCTGGAATCGACATGACGAAAACATGGAAGGCCGGGGAGCAGCAGAATGAAGGCAAGTTGTGGGCTCAGGTTAGAGGAACCCACAAACTGGCGACGCACCTGCCACAATGTTTGAAGAAAGGCTTATTCAGAGGGGGAAATCTATCTGTGTATGTTTCAGGCCTTGCTTAAAAACAAACAAACGAAAATGCAAGAAATAAAAAACCCACCCACACCACAAGGACACAGCTGTAGGGTGGGTTGAGAAATTAGAAGCAGCATTGTTAAATATATTACCCGCCCTTCACTAGCAGGTACAAGGTCAAGTTAAAACAATTAAAAATTAAAAACAGCTAAAACAGATTACAGTGACAGGAATAGGGTGGGCCCCGAACACACATATCTCAAGTGTCGAAAGCCAGGGCAAAGAAGGGGATTGAAAGTTGTATAGTGAAGAAATGACAAACAGAAATACATTGCGGGTTGTGACCAATGCTAGTCCTACTCACAGAGAAGACCCATTGAAAATGATGGACCCAGTGAACTTAGAGCCATCAATAGTCCTTGGTCCCTAAATTTTCAGACTAGATGTTGAGTGCAATGGCTCGCTATGCAATGATTGTTTTGCCAAAAGAGAAACCAGTAATTTCATAGGGATCCATGTGGAACCACAATAACCTTGTGTGGTTCTTGCAGAATCCTCCGGGCCCAGCATGGGGGGAAAGAACTAGGTCAATTTGGGCCACTGTCCCCACCTCAGACTAAATCCTAAACAGAAACATATCTGTGTACGCTCCAGAGTCCCCAGGCAAAGGAAATAAAGTGAGGCCAAAAAAACAACAACCCAAAAAACACAGATTCCTAAATCACATCTGTTTCTCAGAAACCTCCGTGTCAAAAAGAGGCAAGGAAGCAGCTGTCCCAAAGCCCTGACCCAAAGATCTGTGATCCTCTCCCACACCCTGACACTATTGCCAAAGAGTTATTGCAAGACTGTGGTGGCTTGTGGCTGAGGAACCTGCTTCCAAAGCCAGCTTTTCCATATGGACAAAGGCCACCTCTTAAGATTCTGGAGGCCCTCAAGCAGAAGCTTTCAGCGGACTGTCTTACATTTAAAGGTCTTCAATCAGTGCGGAGAGTGGGCAGGGCATGTAAACCTAAGAGATACTTTCAGCTTGAGTTGCTCTCTGAAGGGCTGGGCACAAGTTTTGGGACGGAGGAGAAATCAGGTTTTGTTTGCCCAAATTCACATTTCTGAAATTAGTACTTCTCTGTATGTTGCAAAGCAGAACCAGAGGGTATGTGCAAAATGCACATATTGGGAGAGATTTGCAAAAATAAAAAATCCATTTATTTGTGAAAATAATGGATAGAAATATATTGCAGGAGGGGGAATTTATGGCAAAAAAATGTGTATAGTAGTCAAAAGTGTGCAGAAAGGTTAGGATAAATTTACACTAAAATGCTGGTGAGGGGTTTTTTTTAAAAAAAATAAAAATAAAAAAGCCAGCTACTACAGAAATGTAGAGAACTGAATTTACGACTGGACAAAAATTAGAAACTTAGAGAAACCAAAATTGACAGTGGTTAGTTACCATACACCAGCCATCTCTAACCTGGGGATCTCTGACTGTGGTTGGACTGCAACTCCTATCAGCCCCAGCTAGCATGGCCAATGGCCAGGAATGATGGCAGCTGGAGTGCTGTCTATGGCTGCCCATGCTTAGAAGGTGCAGGGGATATGTGGAGTAGCCATGGCTCAGTAGTAAAGCACCCACTTTGCTTGTAGAAATTCCCTGCTTCGGTCCCTTGCATCCTTAGTTGAAAGGGTCTCGGTATCAGTTATTGTGGAGCTGCTGCCATATTGGGATAAGGTAAAGGGACCCCTGACCATTAGGTCCAGTCGTGACCGACTCTGGGGTTGCGGTGCTCATCTCGCTTTATTGGCCGAGGGAGCCGGCGTACAGCTTCTGGGTCATGTGGCCAGCATGACTAAGCCACTTCTGGTGAATCAGAGCAACGCACAGAAACGCCGTTTACCTTCCCGCCGGAGCGGTACCTATTTATCTACTTGCATTCTGACGTGCTTTCAAACTGCTAGGTTGGCAGGAGCAGGGACTGAGAAATGGGAGCTCACCCTGTCGCGGGGATTCGAACTGCCAACCTTCTGATCGGCAAGTCCTAGGCTCTGTGGTTTAATCCACAGCACCACCCGCGTCCCCCATATTGGGATAGAAGGATTAAATAGGCTGAGTCAGAGTTGGTTCACCTAACTCTGGTTCAGCCAAGATGTAGTAGCATCAGCTGCTTTTTGTCACCCACTCTCAGTTTAAACAATGTACCTTTGAAAACTGCAAGTTTTTCCTCCAAATGCTCTTCATCGCTGAACTTTGGGTCACAGAGAAACTCCTGAGAAAGAAAGGGTGGTGGGAGAGAAATGAATTCAGCACATTTAAGAAAGTAATAACAAAGTCTTCAGATGGGTTAATACCACATAACGCTGGTTCTTCTTCAGGTGGGGAGAAGATCAATTTGAATTGGAGAAGCAGCAGGGTGTAGTTCAGTGACAGAGCCTTTGCCATGCATGCAAAAGCTCACAGGTTCAATCCCTGGCCTCTCCAGGTAAGCCAGATAATGTTTCCTGCCTGAAACTCTGGAGCGCTGTGGCCAATCAGTGCAGACAGCACTCAGCTAGACGAACCAATAGTATGACTCAGGGTAAGACAGCTCTCTAGGCTCCCATTTAAAACCGGATCTTTATTCCAGGACCTTGAGGACTAGAATCCTATTTTACTTCTGGGGGAAAGGTCACAGTTCAATGACAGAGCATCTGGTTTGCATGTGGAAGGTTCCAGGTTCAACCCTCAAGGGCATCTCCAAGTTCATTTTCGCCCCCAAACTCCCATTATTTCTCTTGCTGTCTGTTGTGGTGAAGTGATGTAAATTACACAATTAACTGCTTACGTAAATGATGTTGTCATTGCTTCCCCGCCCCCCACTCGTTTCAATGTGATGCAAGTTGTGTTGGAGGTGTTGTGTTGTGTTTACAAACATAACCACTTCTTCTCACTTGCAGACTGGAAGCAGCAAACTCCGGTCATATTTGCTAGATCCGTTCTGGACGTGGCATGAATATGCGGACACTGAGAATATTCGCTCCCATTTCTGTTTGTATTATGCTGGGTGGAGAGGAGCAAGAGTGCCGTGGGGTGCAGGCCAGGCTGCTTGGGTGACCCCCACTCAGCCAGCTCCCTCTGCAGCTGCGTGCCAGAGGCTCTTGTTCCAAATTTCCTCCCAGCCCTTAGGAACCTGATGGAATGTAATGGCTCCAGTCTGTTTGTCCCCCCCACCCCACCCACCCCCAGGCACCAGCAACACATTCCACATGGCAGAAATCACCGACATCTGCTCACCATTTGGCTCTGGGTTTGTCCTCCTCTCTGCTCACAGAACCAGGACCTTCTGATGGGATGACACCCAGCTCACAGGATGCTGCGTCTCCCCAAGAGCATGTCCTCAAACACAAGCTGCACAGCAGGCTTGTCTTTGAGAGGCAGGCGGGCAAGATGTATTTAGAAGACATCTGAAGGCAGCCCTGCTGTATAGGGAAGTTTTCTATGTTTGTTGTTTTATTATGTTTTCAATATTTTTGTTGGGAGGAGTCTAGAGTGGCTAGGGCAAGCCAGTCAGAAGGTCAGCCCCTTTTTATTTATTTATTTTATTTATTTATTTGGAAGAAAAGGGGCCGACCTTCTGGATTAAATGGTGCCTGTTTTCCAACTGTCCCAAACTGATGAGCACAAGTTCCTGGTAAATTCCCATTTTGGCTTCAGGAAAGATTCTGGAGATGGGGCTCAGTAGCAGAGCATCTACTTTGCATGCAAAAGGTTCCAGGTTCAGTCCCCATTGGCCTCTCCAGGTAGGGCTGGGAGAGACCCTTGTCTGAAACCATGGAGAGCTGCTGCCAGTCAGTGCAGGCAATATTCAACTACATGAACCAGTGATCTGACTCAATGTGAGACAGCTTCTTCCTTTTATCACCCCTTTATTTAGTGCCATGAGGACAGGGGTAGTATTTTAGTTTAGAGGCAGAGCATTTGTTTGCTGACATCTCTGGGTAGGGCTGGGAGAGATTCCCGGCCTGAAACATGGAGAACTGCTGCCAGCCAGTGCCAGTGCCAGACACTATTGGGGGGGCGTCTTTCTCAGTTTTCCTCGGATATGCCAGGGGTTGAACCTGCAAGCAAAACAGATGCTGTACCACTGAGCTACTGCCTTTCTCCTAAAACAACAGGAAGCTGCTTTCTACTGAGTCAGACCAGTTGCCTACACTGACTGGCAGCTACACTCCCAGTATCTCAGATGGAAGGTCTCTCCCACCAATACCCAGAGATTCTGGGGATTGAACTGGGGACATGCAACACAGGTGATCTACCACTGAGGCCCTTTCCAGGAATATAGGAAGTCACACCAATAGTTCATTTGGCTGGCAGCAGCTCTCCAGCATCTCAGCTTGGGACCTTCTCCATTGCAAAGTAGGTACTCTGCCACAAAGCTATGGGTGCTGGAAAAATCAGTACCTAAAAATCACCCTTCCTGTCTCCATGCTTAATGCTCAGCCAGAGTCCCAATTTTAGGGCTCTGGTTTCATGCATGGAGTCAGAGGTTGTGTGCCCCACTTTGGAAGCTCCTGCTGCTGTGAACCCGAGACCAGGTTAGGAGCTGGGGGTTGGCAGGGCTGCCATGTGCTGTAGCCAGTCGAGCCTTGGAAGGAGCCTGAAAGAAGCTTCCTGCCTTTCCCATAGAAGGCCTTGGCTGTCTCCCAAGGGCGACCTTGCCATGCTATCCCCAACGAGGCTGGAATGTCAAATATTCCACAGTGATCTGGGAGGCTTTATGAGCAGGATCAACTGTGAGCCTCTGCACAGCTGGAGAGGTAATAACAAACATGACTCTGACTCATGCTTTCTAGCCCAGGCATGGGGAACCTTGGGGCCAGGGGGCCACATGTGGGCCTCTGGATCTCTCTACCATACCGTCTCAGCCGAATACCCTCTTCCCAGGCCTCATCCTGCACTGGCTCTGCTTTGTAACCCCCTTTAGTATTTCTGGTTGGCTGGGATGCGTCCTCAGACTCTAGTCATGTCTCTCACTGGGTGGAGGACAGAGATGGGTTTTTGTGCCCACAAATTAGCCCAACTGTACAAAGGAAAAAAATTCTCAAATATTGTTCCTCCTGCTTGTGTGTCCGGCCCCAACCACCTCTGGCATGTGGCCCTTAGAGGGTTGCCCAGAACGAAATGCGGCCCCCGCGATGAAAAAACTTTCTCATCCCTGCTCCATCCCAAAAGGGAGACTGTGCATGGAGGAAAAATGGACTCAAGAGATTTGACAGCCATTTCAGATCCTCCAATATTTTCTCAGAGAAAGACAGATATTCTGGTGACTGGGAATACCCTTGTCTACTTCTGTGTTAGTAGCTCCACTAATTTGAGATTGGAAAGGTATCTGCAGATCCTGAAGCCTTGACAAGCCTTGTGTTTTCTCTCACCCCTTCTCAACACCCCACTCCTCTAATTACGTTATCTCCATTCATTGGTTAGAGGCAGAAAGAATCTTATTTATTTATTTATTTTCAAATATTTTTTTTGCTTACAAAAGTATATGCATTGTCTCTTTTCTCAGGTTATAAAGTCTTTTCTTTATATCAGTTACATATGATGTGAGACATTGATGTTGTACAGTCGTACCTCAGAAGTCAAACAGGTTCCATTCCGGAAGCCTGTTCGACTTCTGAAATGTTTGAGTTCCAAAGCACGGCTTCAGATTGGCTGCAGGAAGCTCCTGCAGCCAATCGGAAGCTGAGGAAGCCCCGTTGGATGTTCAGTTTCCAAAAGAACGTTCAAAAACTGGAGCACTCACTTCCGGTTTTTCATTGTTTGGGAGCCGAGCCGAAACATTCGACTCCCAAGGCGTTTGGGAGCCAAGGTACAACTGTATACAGAATAAGGTTGCAGAAGAATAAAAGAAGGGAGAGAAGGGGGAGAAGTGGTAAAGTCATATTGTTATACTTAGTGTGTATGTGGGTTTTTTATGTCAGTGTCGTTTGGGTAGGTTCTCTTTCTGTTTATTTATTATATTTCCTTCGTAGTGAGAGAGGTTGGGTGGGGGGCCCCAGGGCATGGCTAGTTGTGTTTAGTTGGCTGTAATGAGATTTGTTTGCGAGTGTGAAGTGGGGGGTGGGATTGTTGGGTCAAGTTAGCCGGATTGATTCGTATATTGTCGGTGGGTTCTTGTTGTCATCTTGTTGGGATGTGTATGTAATAAAGTGGAGCCATACTGGGGTGAAGGCGTTTTCTTCTATTTCCCTCCTTGTCAGTTTGAGTCTGTTGGTTAGCTTTTCTAGTAAGGCTGTTTCCCATACGATTTGGTACCAGTGGTCCATGTTCACTCCTGACAGGTCTCTCCAGTCTTAAGACCAAAGGATGCTTAAAGCCTAGTTGGTGGGGCGACAGGAGATGGGGGAGGATGAAGGCAGGAAGAGGTGTGTGAGCACAAGAAACCTTGCAGCACCATATGTGAGAGGACATTCCAAAAGATACAGGCTCATCTTGCATTCCTGCCAGGCAGGGAAGCTGCCCTGAACACAGAATCCCACTCAATGAAAAGGCCCCTTCTGCAATGTACATTTAAAGCAGAATCATACCACTTTTAAACAGTCTGGGTGCAAGCATCCTGAGAACTGTAGCTTATAAAGGGTGCCGAGAGGAGACCCCTGTTCCCCTCACAGAACTCAAATTTCCAGAGTGGTTCAACAATCAGTCCCTCTTCCCAGGGAACTCTGGGAAGGTCAATGTATCAAGGCATACCCACATCAATTGTTTAAAGCATATGACTTCCCCCAAATAATCCTGGTAAATGTAGTCTGTTGGGAACACTGAGAGGGAAATTACTGTTCCCAGGATTCTTTGATGGAATTCTTAATATGTACTGTATCTTAATATCATTCGGTGGCATTGCTGGCAGGGGCTGATGGAAGTTGTAGTTCAAAGCATTTGGAGGGCACCAGTTTGGGGAATGCTCCTTTGCTGATGAATCAGCCACACACAGTTTCCACTGGGAACTTCCTTTGCGCGCGCGCACACACACACACACACAAAATGAACCCAATGGTATCCTCCCAACCTAAACCAGTTGTCAAAGAGAGCTGTAAATTAGCACTTATGTGATCTTGCAAGAGGTAAACAGCAGCACATCCACATATCAACAGAGACAGACATTCCTGAAGTCCCAATGACATTGGAATCTCTTTCATTAAGGACCCCCCTCCCATATAAACAGGTGGGGAATAAGCCAGAGATTCTAAAGCAGGTTTTTCCACCTCCTGCAGGCTGAAACACCAAAATCAAAGCTGATGGTTACATCACTTTGTCACTTAAAGGGGTTGTTTTGAAATCTGTTTTGTTGCATCAGCAATGAGGTGCGAGATTTTGTGAGCCAAGGATCCTCAGCGGAAAGCTTTTTAACACAAAAATGGGGAACCATTGGGATTGAACCTGGCACCTTCTGCATGCAATGGTAGGAATAAATGGCATCTTAGGATGCTGTCTTGGCTTGTACAGAGTCAAACTATTAGTTTGTCTAGCTCAGAACTGTCAGCACTGACTAGCAGCAGCTCTGGGCTTTCAGACAAAGGACTATCAGCCCTACTTGGAGATGCCACTGAGGACTGAACCTGCATGCAGGGCAGATGCTCTACCACTGAGCTAAGACCCTACCCTTGCATACACACCTGTGTAGCTTCCTCTCCTCTTATCCTTGCCTCTGCTGACTGCAAATGCTTTGGGGGCAGGGACCCAGCTTCTGAATACTGTACATGGGAACACTCAGCAGTTCTGCAGTAGGGCTTCTAATCTCCGCTCCACATTTCTGAATAGCTTCAGCCCACGTGCACCACCACAAACACCTGCACTTGTATACAGACAGCTTGCACGTGTGTAAAGGGATGGATGGATCTGCCAACAAGCAGACCTACATTTTGGGGGCCCTGAAGTTTGAACTGTCATGACAGCCCCTTCGCAACCAGAAACGAGGTTTAGGTAACCACTGTTAACCTCTTCAATGGGGTTGTTACATGACAGATCACCACACCTTTACAACACCTGTGCTTCTGACTCTCAAACTTTGGGATTGTTGAAATATGTACAAAAAACTAATCAATTTGAATCAAATCAAGGTGACTCAAATTAAAGTCACAAATACTTAGTTGTTTCTGGCGCCCCTCTGGGATTCGGGGGCCTAAAGCTTCAGCTTCATTAGTTTCACAGTAGATCTGCCCCTGTCTGTCAGTTTCAGGCTCCATCTCTGAAACCCTGGAGAGCTGCTGCCAGTCAGTGTATGCAATGCTGAGCTAGATGAATCAGTGGTCTGATTCAGCATAAGGCAGCTACATGTGCTCTTAGTTCTTTTAGACTGCAAGCCTGATGGTAGGCAGCTTCTTGACACTGACATTTGGAAGCTTCTCTATCAGTCTGATTGGGGGAAAGCTGGATTAGGGATTTGTGAGAAATTTGCATTTTGCATTTAAATGCACTTTGCCCTGAAATGCTGGTGAATTTCCACGAGGACTTAAAAAAGGAAATAGCAGACTGTGTGGAAATGTGGAGAACTCAAAACTTAAGAATGCAATTATTAGGAACTGAAATTGATAAGAGCCACCCATCCTAGATCAGGCAGTAATGTAAGCCATTAACTTGCGATTGAATTGCTCCCACCTTGTTGATCTCTTCCAGCCTTCCTTGCTGCTTGGCTTTGAGTAATCCAAAGGCTTTCCCTCCTGGATAAAAGAGAAGGAGCATGTAGTAAATCCAGGTGTGTCTGTAACCCTCTGGGTGTTCTTCAACTTCTGGGACTAGCGAGCAGGTGACATCCTCCCGGGCAGCGGCGCCGGTGTCTTGAGGATTTTGAAGCAGCCCTCCGGGACACCGCGCAGCAAGAGGAGGATCTCCGGTTGCTGTAGAGCTCGCTTGCCATGCTTTGAAGCAGGCAAAGTCCCATATTACCCCCATCCCCGGGCCTCCCCCCCCATCCCCGCAAGAATCACAGTTGCACGACCATGCATACCTTGATATGCGCTGTTGAGCATGAGAGACATGCTGGAGATTTCACGAGCGAGACCCCGGCTGAGGAGTTTTCAGAAAGTTTCTCCGCTGGGTGCCGCCGCCGGCACGCTGCGGGTTTCCAGCCAGGGTGGCGAGCGAAGATCTCCCCTCTGCTCAGGACGGCTACCGAGCCAGTCCAGGTACTTCCAACAGAGTCATTCATGAAGTGGGACTCGGCAGAGGCCGGCTGAGGAGGCTCACACATCCCTCTGGCGGAGGAGGCGGAGGAATGCCGCCCTCCCCGGAGTGGGGCCTCAGACCCGTTGCAAATGGGCTGCTGGCAGGGTTAACCCTTTCCTTGCACGGAGAGCAGAAAATGCAACGCCACACCATTCGGTTGGTTCGCTGGTTTGTTCGTAGCGTTGATGTCCCACTTTCCCCCGCTCCCGAGTAGCTCAAGGGGGCTGCGCTCATGGCTCCCGCCTTCCTGGTTTAATTCCCCACGCAACAACCCTGTGAGGTAGGTTAGGCTGAGACGCAGTGACCGGCTTCCAAGGTCACGCAGTGAGTTTTAGGGCCAGGAAGGGGATTTGAACCCAGGTCTAAGTTTGGCACTCTAACCACTGCACCACATTGCCTGTCTCTGCTTCTCCAAAAAAAACCCCACCCAAACTACTCCAATCTGCAAACCGTGAGAGAGTCCAAGGGTTCCAGGCACCTATGCAGGATCCGAATTCTGATTTTTAATGGGGCTTCCCTGGAGGCCTAGGGGCTTCACACTGAAGTCTCCCTGAAGTGAGTAACTTGCTCAGGATCAGTTCATTTGAGAACTGTCAGGAGCATTATGGGAAACTTAAATGGTGTCTCCCTGATCCAAAGGCACAGCCCTTATCAGATCAGAGTGCTGGTTAAAGGAGAAAAGGGCCAGGTGGTACCTTAATCAAGATAACCTCCACTGTCAAAGGAGGCAATATGGTTCTGAACAGCAATCACTGCTAGGAACTGCCAGTGTGGAAAGTAGTACTGCTGCACTTGGGTCCAGAGCTGTCAACTTTCAGATTTGAAAATAAGGGATCAGCAGCCTCACCTGTCCCGGAGACAGTCTATGGGATATCTAACAATCCAGGATAGCAGTGGAAAGCAGCAGGAAATGGTGCTGAAATAAGGGAATTTCCCGCAAAAAAAGGGAAGGTTGACAGCTATGCCTGGGTCCTGCTTTCAGGATTCCCATCGGGGCATCTGGTTAGCCATTGTGAAAAGAAGACGCTGGAGTGGTTGGGCCGCCACCTGATGCGGCTTCGGGGCTTGTATATTATTTTGTTATGTTCTTACCTCAGTTGCCCAAGGATACAAAGGACGCTGGTGCCAGAACCTGTTATATGAATGAATACAAACATAGATGGATGGATAGATAGATAACTCTATGCACGTGCAGAGTGCAGCACCCCTTGCTATGAGGCAAATTTGTGACAAATTTAAGCGGTGGCTCCCAGCTCCTCTTACCCTACTCCAGGGTGTGTTTTTTTTTGGGGGGGGGGTTAAAGAGAGGATCCTCCCTATGTGCTATAAATAAAGGATAATAACATGGATGCTTGTATACATAACAAAAATAATAAAGAATCTGCCTAGACCAGCTCAGTCTTGTTTTTTTAATTCTCCCCTCAAGTCTCTGGGAATAGATTTTGCTTCAAATACTCGTTTGAGGTGAGGCCCTTCCAAAAGGCCGCCACCCATGTTGGCCAAGCCAAGGTTCTGAATCACCACTGGAGAGGCTCCCAAACACCCATTATGTAGTAGTGACCTTCCTCTTTGGGCCTAGTGTCTTCGCCAGAAACAAAGGGAGGAGTTGGCAGCCTCTCCCCACCTGGCCCGGTCCCTCATGTTAATGGAACCCTAGTGGCTGAGTCAGACCACACACAACCCAATGCTCCCCCAAGACTCCTGTTTCTCAGGTCTGGATGTCATCTTCTTTGGGAGAGCACCACATACCTGGCTGTTGTTTCATCTCTGGAGTGAGCGGTGCTAAGGGTTCATCAGCTTGCCTTAAAGAACCAGAGAAGGCAATGGCTGTAGCTCAGAGGTTAGAGTACCTGGAAGTCTGCAGTTCTGTCTCCAGCATCTCTGGATAGGGCCTGTCTGAGGCCCTGAAGAACTGCTGCCTGTCAGCACTGACGGAACTGAGCTAGATGCAGCAAGGGGTCTGGCTCAGCATAAGGCAGTTCCCAAAGTTGCCATTCATAATCATGAGGACCAGGAACTTTATTTCTGGATGGACAATAGTAAAGGTAAAGGGACCCCTGACCATTAGGTCCAGTCGTGGCCGACTCTGGGGTTGTGGCCCTCATCTCGCTTTATTGGCCGAAGGAACCGGCATACAGCTTCTGGGTCATGTGGCCAGCATGACTAAGCCGCTTCTGGCGAACCAGAGCAGTGCACGGAAACGCCGTTTACCTTCCCGCCAAAGCGGTACCTATTTATCTACTTGCACTTTGACGTGCTTTCGAACTGCTAGGTTGGCAGGAGCAGGGACCGAGCAACGGGAGCTCACCCCGTTGCAGGGATTCGAACCGCCAACCTTCTGATCGGCAAGTCCTAGGCTCTGTGGTTTAACCTACAGCGCCACCCGTGTCCCACGGATGGACAATAGTGCATTCTAAACAGGTAGGAACCGAGTGCCAACAAACCAACGGTAGAGATTATGAACCAAATGGGATCTGAACTGTATGCAAACTAATGCAAACTGTATTCATGTAGAATGAACAGTGTTGTTATATGAAAAATTGGGGTTGGCTTTTACAGCCAAACTCCCAAAGGACTTTGTATTCCCTCTGTCCATTATCAGAGAAGAATGGATGGAGGCAGAACCAGCATAAGAAAGCAATGAATATATTTATTTTCTGTAGCAACAGTTCCCCTCACCCTTGCAAGGAGGTGAGGACCCAGAACAAAGGTGGGTCCCAAACGTCTTTTAAAGGCTTTAGAAGTTGCCCAACCCCTTAAGCCAAAAGCCACCCAAAAGCATTATACAAGGAGTGCATGACTTGTCTCCTTTCTCAGACTTGATAATGCTTGCTGATTGCCTTATCCTGGCACTCTTTTGAAATTTTAAATATCCTAGTTCCTGAAACCATTGTCACAGACCTCCCCTATTCTTACATAAAATATGCTCCTTTGACAAGATTTGAAGAATTTATATGGGAAAGGTTTTTCCAACATACTTCCTTTTACTGCAGGGAAAATATCTGGGGACATTCAGATACCCAAGATGGCTTCAGGATTGTTCTGTGTACTAAAATAGTCTGTTTTTTTCAGGGACCAATGGTCAATGTTTTTTTCAGGCTTGCTATGTGTGTGCACCTTATAACAGGGTGGAAGTGTTTTATGTAATTAATATAAACAATGACAAACAGAAATCATGCCGGTCACAGGTTTAATCCCTGGCATCTCCAGGTAGGGCTGAGAAAGACCCCTGCCCAAAATCCCTGAGAGCCACTGCCAGTCAGGGTAGACCAGGGTTTCCCAAACTTGGGTCTCTAGCTGTTTTGGACTACAATTCCCATCATCCCTAGCTATCAGGACCAATGGTCAGGGATGATGGAAATTGTAGTCCAAAAACAGCTGGAGAGCCGAGTTTGGGAAACAGTGGTGTAGATGATACCGAGCTTGATGGACAAATTATCTGACTCTGTACAAGGCAGCTGCCCATGTCCCTATTCAGAATCATGAGGACTAGAGTCTTACCTTGTATTTTCACTGGGCGGAATGTCAGACAGCAAAGACCTGCTAGCACTTGCCAAAATCCCAGGTAGGCTATTGTAACACATCAGGTTTGGAGGCGGACTCTGACCTTGGCTCCTCCAGAGCAGGACAAACAAGCCAGCTGTGATCTAACACTGCTTGTGTAAGGATTTCAAAGTGTTAGTAATTTCCCTCTGGAGGCCAACCCATAAGCAGCAAAGAGACTGCTTCCCTTCAAACCAGAATCTGCTTGTGCGATAATCCAATGTTCTGTTTGTTGTGTTTTGTAACACTGTTTGCTTTTGGAAAACTGTCCTTGAGGCAGGGAAAGGAAGAAGGAATCACAATGGACTTAGTTCCTCCCCCCTCCCAAAATAAGACAACACATTCCAGGAAAGGTTTTGTGAATAATGTGTGATTCAAGAATCCTGCATGCTTGGGGTTCGATGATCTCAGGGCCCTGAATGCCCTTTCCCCTAACTCCTAATATTTCAAAGTGGATTATTGTACTCAAGAAGACCAGCTATACAAGGTATGCATGTGCACTGCTGCATGTGGGAAGGTAAGAAGCTGCCTTAAACAGAGACCATTGGTCTGTTTACACTGACTGGCAGCCCCACTGCAGGGTTCCAGAGAGGGTTCTCTTCCAGCCTTCTCTCAAGATTGAACTTGCAAACTTGAGCATGCAAGGACTGAATTAAATGGAAACACAGGAAGCTGCCTTATACTGAGTTGCACCATTAGTCCATCTGGCTCATTGAATGGACAGGCAGCAGCTCTTCACAGATTCAGGCAGGGGATATTCCCATCCCTACTTGGAAAGTGAACCTGAGGCTGTTGTGAGTGAGCCCTGTGGAGACTTCTTGGCAGGGCTGCTCAGAGCGGGAGGAGTTGGGTCTTAGGGCGGAGTCCAGTGGTCATGGCAACATTGATCTGGATGCTGGGAAGAGTCTTGCCTCAGTGCCATCCGATGCCCATCCAAAGGCACCTTCAACCAGATTGGACCGTGAGCTGGATGCATTGACTCTACCTCCATTGTCAAGGAGAGAGTGCTGGCATGAGCAGACCCAGGAATGCATGTTTGTGTGCCCAGTCCTGAGGCTTCAGATGGATCCCATACAAATGACTGTGCCCACCCCGTTCTTCATAAGGGGATGTCAGGGGGCATGTCAAGTGTGGGGACAACATATTAGTTTCCTCCTAACCATGGACCTCAGAGCTCTGATATAACTGCTGATCCATACGCCTTGTGTCTATGTTTGGGCGAAATTCTTAATGAATTTTGGAATAAAGTCTTTGGCAATAACTGTGTTGAGAGTCCATGCATTGCATTCATAAGTGGTAGCCAGGACAGGGCCTTTATTTTGTGCAAAGTAGATGCTCTGTGGTTGAATAATTGTCCTTCATCAAAATATAAAGTAAGGCTTCAGTCCTCATGATTCTGAATAGAAGTTGCCAGGGACTGAAGTTATATCGGTGCATCACATGCTTTTCATTAATATGTGCGTTATTATTCACATGTACCCTTAATATACACATCCACTGTTGCATAACTGAGGTGCAAAATTCAGAGAAGTGCAAATTTCAAAGGATACCTACATTTCAGTTCATGGATTGTTTTAAAGTGCCATTTTAATAGATTTGTATTAGTGGGATGCAGGTGGCACTGTGGGTTAAACCACAGAGCCTAGGACATGCCGATCAGAAGGTTGGCAGTTTGAATCCCCGTGACGGGGTGAGCTCCCGTTGCTCGGTCCCTGCTCCTGCCAACTAGCAGTTCGAAAGCATGTCAAAGTGCAAGTAGATAAATAGGTACCACTCTGGCGGGAAGGTAAACGGCGTTTCCGTGTGCTGCTCTGGTTCGCCAGAAGCGGCTTAATCATGCTGGCCACATGACCCGGAAGCTGTACGCCGGCTTCCTCGGCCAATAAAGCGAGATGAGCGCCGCAACCCCAGAGTTGGCCACGACTGGACCTAATGGTCAGGGGTCCCTTTACCTTTACCTGCATCCCTACCTTGCCATGATGATTAATAATAGCATATTATGAAAGCTGAGATATTTGTAAACATTGATGATCTGCTATCTTCAAAGGTGAACTGGGATTTAAAGAAACCTGTTAAAAACTTTCACACAGCACACAGCCATATAAACATCAAGTCCTCTATTTTTAAAACCAAGACAAGAATTTTCCAAAGGCTTTCCATTTGAAAGAAATCAGTTGGAATAAAAGCACCTGTTTGAAACTGATTTGATGGCCCACTGTCATCTGTGGACTGCAAAGGCTGGCATTATAGCCAGACTAATGAGTCCTCAGGTCAAAGGTCAGAGAGAAGAAATGGTGGCTGGTGCCCACTGCAACTGCTAGGGCAGAACGCAGGGAGCCCAACACAAGGTGGAGCCAGAGTCAATGACAGACAGAGCCAGCTAATTCTAGTACTTCCCTCATCTTTCTCCCTGCAGAATTCTACAAGGGCAACACTGAAACTGAAGAGAAACCCAAAACAGGAAGAGCCACCTGCTGGATTGGAGGCAAGGAAAAATGCAGCCAAGTGAGGTCCGGTGGGGAGCAGACTGAGGTTGGTTGGGCAGATTCCCATTCACCCAAATAGGGCAGCCTCCACTACAGGCAGAAATTCTGTGGCGAAGTGAACTGTTAGGTGGAAAAGGATTGGCAGAGGCTGTTTACAGACAGTTATTTCTGCCAAGCAGTGGGTGAATCTTCTTTTTCACCACTTCTGTGTCATTAGCTCTGATCCAAGGAACTGATATTTTGACAAGGTAATGGTAAGAAAGGGAAGAAGACTTGCTGAAGAGGGTTCTCCCCATCTTTCTTTATTGCAGCTGCTTCCCCCACACCCCCACTCTAAATCAATGGAGCAGTAGAAATAAACTAGACCAGGTTGCATGGCATATTTAGGTTCAGTCAATCACGCGACTTCTGTTTCAGTCAATTCCATGGCTATGGGAAATTGCACATTTTTACTCCCTTTTTAAGGGCTACATGTTTTGGGGCAGAGGGTAAGGAGGAAAAGAGTGAAAATCTGTAAAAACAGCTCCAAAACTGCAAGCATAGTAACTGGAAGAAATTGTACTATCTGCCATGGGTGCCATCCATCAGATGTCCACCATTTAATGACAAAAGTGTTTATCGCATTTATAGGGCGTTAGTTTTTGGCTTTTCCACAATACAGTCTGAAGCTCTGTAAAGACCTGCAAAACTGGTTTTGACCTAAGACAATGGCAGATTCCCAAAAATGATGTACAGAAACACCACTGAACATGTCTTCCTGAGGATTTAAACTTTTTATATTTTGTTTAAGGTTTTACTTATTGCTGCAAAAAACCCCCAACCAACCAACCATAAGGACAATGACTGGTGAAATTCATAAAAGAATTTGAATACTATTTGCAGTGTTCAATGCTATCATCTGTACACTGTTAAACTTACATAACATTCTGTTCTGCCCCCCCCCCCCTTTAGACTCATTTGTCAATGTCTGTCCATGGGAACATCTCCTTAGGAAATGGGTGGATCTGGCAATTTTGGATTTTCTCCCTTTCTCTTTCTTCCAGTTCAGTTCTCTGCATTTTCACACCAATCTGCAATTTATTTTAAAGTCCTTGTGAAAGTTCATTGGTACATTTTAGTACAAATTTCTCCCGAACATGCACATTTTTTGCAAACAAATTTTCCCTAATACAATGCATTGCTGTATGTTATTTTCACCAATACAGTGGTACCTCCGGTTGCGGACGGGATCCGTTCCAGAGGTCTGCTGGATCCCGAAGTTTCCGCAACCTGAGGACCGCTTCTGAGCATGTGCGTGTGGCAAAACCCAGTCAAATACTTCTGGGTTTGCCGCTTTCGCATCCCGAAGTTTACGAAACCAGAGGGTTACGTAACTGGAGGTACTACTGTACATGCATTCCTAGGCACACTTTACTCCCAAGCTTGTGCATTTTTGTACACATTACTTGGCTGGAGAACTGCACTGCAAAGTTTGGAGAAGTGTGAATTTTGGGAGGGTGGCTGTGTTTGTTTGTATATTGTTTCAGAAAGCGCAGTGGGGTAGATTTGCCTTTAACTGCGAACTGAATCAAATCCCTCTTACATCCTGACATTTTCTCCATGGTATTGACCTTCATCTATCTTTCCCTCCCTCCGCGCCATGTTCCTCAAGCCTTCAGTTCCTTGCGCTGCCAGGGATGGTGCTCTGGAGCACGTTTAAGGAGGCTGTGTCACTTCCTGCTGGAGCAGCTTCTGGGCAGGCTCTGGAGGATGGATTCCAGGTTCTGCTTGTCGCTCTGGATCTCCGCCAAGTCCCTCTCAAAGGCCTCGATCCTCTCCCTCTGGGTTTCAGCCTCATGCTGCAAGGTACTCAGCTGCTGGCCCAGGGCACCAGATCCCGCCAGGTTTGACTGCAAGTGCTCCAGCTGGGTTTGGCTCAAGTTCAGTGCAGCTTCTGACAGAGCACTGTGGTCTATGTTGCCTGGCCAGGGAATGGGGTAAGGGGGGGGATAGGAAAGAGAAACACATTTATGTATTATTATTTATTTCAATCATTTCTATACCACTTCACATTCTCTGCCCCCACCCCAAGCAGTTTACTACTTTAAAACATCACCTAAAATCTTATAATATGCTAAAATAAAACATGGCCAAATATAAAAATGAAACATTGCTGCTGAAGATCCAATAGAAAAATGCAAGGAAGATCCACATTTAAAGCATCATAATAGACAGGAAAGAAACATATTAACTGAGCATAAAGCGGGGTATCCAACTAATATGTCCTGCTAGTGCGAAGATTTCCACTTACACCATGGGGCTTCCCCGCACTCCCCCCCCCACATCCTGCACCCTCTCCAGAGGGTTGGGGAAACCCCTGGAACAAGTTTAGTAGAGGATGCATGGGGAGGGAGAGCAGAGGGGAAAGTCCTGCTGTACAAACAGAAATCCTTGTACTGGCAGAACTGTGACTGAGCACCACTATGGATGCAACCCCCCCCCAACACACACTTTACAAATGAAAGCCCATTTGTTTTAAACTGTTTGGTTCACCTTCACCACTCCTTACCCTGCAAGAGTGTGGTTCTCTGCGTCTTTTTCTGACAAGAGCTCCTGAGAATGTGGTGAAGGGACCTGGTGAACCTATGCCAGCGATTGCAGCTACTTAAAAGGTAGCAATCCTAGCAAGAGGTATAAATGAAACCTCTATTCATGAGCTCTCTTTCCCTTGGAGTTCCTCAAAGCAGGGTCATATCTAAAGTTAGTCCTACACAGAGTGGACCCACTGTAGTTCATGGACATGATTGACTTTGGTCCATTAGTTTTCAATGGGCTTACTCTGAGTAAAGGCTTATCCACACTTAACTTTCCTCTGTTCTTTCCAGGCACAGAATGCTGTGCCTGAGTGCTGCCTGTCCTGCTCCACAGCTTTCCCTGCAAAAATCCACTCCTTAAAGGTCAAGTGGAGCAAATGGCAATCCGCGGGGGGGGGGGGGGGAGGGAACGACCCACAAGAAACTGAGCTTTTGAGCGCAGAACTGTGCCTAGAAAGAGTGAGGCAAAAGGTAAGTGTGGATAAGCCCTCAGACTTAGTTGGACTCAATCCTGCAACTTCTGCCTTGTTCCTAAAATTCCCAGTTTGACAATAGACAGATACCCCCTAACTATATTGTTGTAGACACTTGCCGAAAACTTTTTTTTGTACCTAGATATGCAATCTACGCGGGTGCTGTGGGTAAAACCTCAGTGCCTAGGACTTGCCGATCGTATGGTCGGCGGTTCGAATCCCCGCGGCGGGGTGAGCTCCCGTCATTCGGTCCCAGCTCCTGCCCACCTAGCAGTTCGAAAGCACCCTTAAGTGCAAGTAGATAAATAGGTACTGCTTTATAGCGGGAAGGTAAACGGCGTTTCCGTGTGCTGCTCTGGTGCTGGCTCGCCAGAGCAGCTTCGTCACGCTGGCCACGTGACCCGGAAGTGTCTCCGGACAGCGCTGGCCCCCGGCCTCTAAAGTGAGATGGGCGCGCAACCCCAGAGTCGGACACGACTGGCCCGTACGGGCAGGGGTACCTTTACCTTATGCAATCTAGATACTTCTAGGTGTTTTAAATGCTTTATTGGTTTTTATCTTTGATTTTAACGATGATGGCTCTCCATATATTTGAGTTTTTAAAATATATTTGTTTCGATGATGATGGTTTTAGGTATGTTTGTCTTTAATTGGACTGCTGAGTTTAGCTGTGTTTTGTACCAATTTTATTTGGAGAACCTTTTCTATCAAGCAGTTTATGTGTTTTCTAAAGGATTAAAAAAACAACTCCCAAATATAAAAGCTGGGCACCTTTCCATACACTTTGCTCAACTGACATGCATCTTTTAGCATTGGAGGGTGTTCCTAATAATAAATCTGTAAAATATACTGCAGCTTTAAGTAAGGCTCAGGTATCTATCTCAGAGTCCCTGATTTCTTCTGTCTCATAGGCTCATAAAATTGTAGAGTTGGAATGGACCCCCTAGGGTCATCTAGTCCAACCCCCTGTGATGCAGGAATCTTTTGCCTGAAATTAAGAGACTCATGCTCTACTGACTGAGATATCCCTCAGAGCCCTTAACCACAGCCTTGCGAGCAGAAAGCTTTGCCCATCATGGACCTGGTGGCAGGGGAGAAGTCTGCCTGCTTAATTTCTACCTGCCAGGCTTTTGCTCAAGGCACAACATTTGGCAAACACTCATTAATCCCCAAAGGCTATTGATTGCAACATTAGGATTAAAGTTCACTGTAGTTCTTAGAAACCGTTATGAAAAAAAGGTGACCAGTTTTAAAGGAAAGGCTGCCCTCTTGTGGTTGGCACAGGAAGTGCTGAGCTTTCAGCTGCATCACAGGTGTGCCCAGGATGCTACTGCAGGAGCAAGGAACTTGATCTTTCATTCTCCTACACACACCCTGTAAACCAACTATGGCAGGTGGGTGGAGCTGCTGACCTGTTAATCACCTGACGTTATAAAGCTCAACATAGACAGTGAGCACCTTTGCAGAAGCAGTTTGAATCCAATCTGCACCTGCAAATGGACAAAGCCAGGGCAGGCCACAGACCACATACAGCTCTGCCATTCACTGCTGCTCTTTGCCATTCCCATCAGCCGCTTGATGCATTCATTTCATTCTGCCTAACAACAGGGCTGGCCTTGTTCTCTGGACTTATGAGGTTCATTGCGCTTCCTTGAATTGCTTGCAACCAACTATTCTCACACCACACTCAATGGAAATAAAAACAGCCAAGTGGTGTTGGTTGCTCACCGAGACTGGTGAGCAGGCTGTTCAGCGCCGCAATGTCCATCTCCAAGGAGCCCTGGGCATTTCGGAGGCTCTTCTCAAGATCGTTCATCTCTGCTGCAACCTTCCAATGAGATTGTCTGTGCATTAGAATTGTAGGATTGGCAGGGACCACAAAGGTATCTTTTAACCCCTTGACACGTGTGACAGTGTCCTGGTCAGGGCTGGGGAATCTCAGGCCCAGAGGACAAAAGCAACCCTCTAGGCCTGTCCCTATCCAGCTCTTGGGGCTCTCCTGAGGCCCTGCCCTGCCCTCCTTGCCACACACCCATCTCCAGGCATTCTCTGCAACCTCTCCAAGTGCTTTTGCCTCCCTAGAATGCATCCTTAAACTGTGGTCATGCCTCTCGCTTGCCTGGATGGAAAGGTGTATGGTGTGTGTGTGTGTGTGTGTCCAAACCTCTGGTTTTTGGAGGGCTAGCATGTAATCTCCTGACAAAGGCACAGGTCACATCCATGGCTCTGTCCAGTTTTGCCTCTGGCCACATCCGCCACTGGCATGTAGGCCCCCACCCCCGAAAGTTCCCCACAAAGGAATGCAGCCCTTGGGTTGCAAAAGGTGCCCCCACCCTGAAATAGGCGATCAGTCCATGGATATGGAGCACATGTTGTAAAATGGGGAACCTCAGAGCCAGGGGGCAAAAGTGGATCCCGCAGGCTTCCCTATCTGGCCATTGGGACTGTGCCCAGGCCACACCTCTCACGGGCCCTACTCTGTGCCTTCCTCTAATGATTTCACATGTCCTTGAACTGGAATGATGCCTCTTGCTTTCCCGCACCCACCACATCCACCATCAGCATTCAGCCCCTGAAAAGCTGCACATGAAGGAAGGCAGCCCTTGGGCTTGAAAAGGTTCCCCATCCCTGGTGCAAACAAATAATATTCAGAGTAAACCAAAGATTTATGGAAAGTGGGGTCATGCTGTTTAAAAAGGGATAGCACAGGAAACTTAGGAAGCTGCCCTATACTCAGTCAGATTACTGGGGTCCATCTAGCTCAGTATTGCCGACACTGACTGGCAGTGCCTCTCCAGGCTTTCAGGCAGGGGACATTCCCAGCCCTGCCTGGACATGCTGGGGATTCTGCATGTAAAGGAGATCCTCTGCCCCTGAGCTGTGGTCCTTCAACAACCCTAGCAGTGCACCCCCTTCAGCTAATGAATCCAAAGCATCACTGACTTGTCCAGGTCCAGCGAGGTCGTTGCCACGTTCTTCAGACTCGCGCGTCTGCCTGGAGGCTTCTGCCATGGTCAAAGCAACACGTGCCTTAAGTTTATCCACGCGCTTTTTCTCCCACTTTGCTTCTCTGAGTGTGTCCTGCGCCTTCTGTTGAAGAGGATGACAAAAACAGGTGAGGAGGATGGGTCATTAGAGGGAGGGGAATCTAAAAGAAATAGCAGGCAGGGTCAAGCTAGGGTGGTGTCGTGGTTAAGAGCATCACGCTAGGACCTGAGGGTTCAAATCCCCATTCAACATTGAAGCCTACTGGGTGCTGTGGGCTGCTGCAGCCTCTATCCTCAACCTGTGTGTTTGTAAATGAACACGAATAATATGGGGCCCTGAGAAACCCCCAGGGAACTCCTTCCAAAGGAAACCAAACCCAGGCAAGCCCTGTGCCCCTCTTGAAGACCTTACTCCTCAGGAGAAGTGGGCTGAACTTAACAGTAGGCCTTAAACTTCACAGGTGTGGGCTGTTCATACCTTAGCGCCCTCCTTCGCGACTAACTCTGCATTGTTGGAAGTTTTCTGGGCCTCAGCAGAGACTGAAAAGGAATCTCCCAGAATCTTCTGAGCTTGTCTGGTCTTCTTCTGGGCCTCTGCTATTGCCCGATCCCGCACAACTGTCATTTTCCTGTTTGTGGCAGACTGGCGCTTGTGACGTGCACCCAATCTCTTCATCCCTGATGGTGAGGGAGTAAAGAGCTTGGTTATCCTGATTATGATATTGAGATCCAGTGTGGTGTAATGTTTAGAGCATCAGACCTGGGAGACTATGGTTTGAAGAAGCTAAAATGGAAGGATCTTTTTTTTTTGTTAAACTTAGGATGGAAATCGCAGCCAATGGGAAATGGGAGCAGAATATATTGAACTGGGCTTGAATTAATGAATATACAATAAGCAAATAACTATGGATTACTGTTTTAATATATGATCATAGTGGAGAGACTCCTGTGTGAATAAAGATGAAGGATTTATTGTTTCTCAACATGGAGGAAGGGTTGTTAAAGTTTTTGGAGGACTGGAGGAAGCTATTGTTGGCACTTATTAACAACAACAACAACCGGAGAACCCCTTTTAAACTTTTTGTGAGGTAGGGAACAGGAATTAACTTGAGGTGTCTGGGTCTGATGACTGGGAAAATATTGCCTAATAGAAGGAGTAGTAGCTGGATAGCATTCTGGACTGAATATTTTGACTCTATCCATCTATCTATCTATACTGATAGACTGAGAATAAGAAGTGCTCTCTCTCTCCCTTTGTTTTCTTTTCTCACTCTTGTATTATTTTTATCTTCCTGTTTCCTTTTCTTTCTTTTCTTGGTTTTTGCTTCTGTTTTTTTTATGAGTCAATGAGGGCACTGTATGCAAATGAAGGTGATGGCTAGTTGGTGAAGGACCCTGTGTGAGAGGCAGGGAAGGGAAGTTCTCCCAGGGTGGGAGGCTGGGATAAGAAAGAGAAGCTCCCAGGTGGGAGATAGGAGGGTCAACCCCTTTCTGTGGGTGATAAGAATTAAGATCTACCTTTACGGAACAGTAAGCATGCATTTGTGTAACTGCTACACAGACAGTTTAATGTTCTTCAACATCAACTTTGTTGGACTGGTCATGTTGTCAGGATGTCTGATTATCGTCTTCTACTCTATTCCCAACTCAAGAATGGAAACGAAATACCGGTGGATAACAAAAGTATCCTAAAGGGCCGCCACATGGAAGATGGAGCAAGCTTGTTTTCTCCTGCTCTGGAGGGTAGGACTTGAACCAATGGCTTCAATTTACAAGAAAGGAGATTTCGACTAAACATCTGGAAGAACTTGTTCGATAATGGAACAGACTCCCATGAGAGGTGTTGGACTTTCCTTCCCTGGAGGTTTTTAAGTGGAGGTTGGATGGCCATCTCCCATGGATGCTTTAGCTGAGATTCCTGCACTGCAGGGGGTTGGACTAAATTACCCTCAAGGTCCCTTCCAACTCTGTGATTCTATGATATCACTGTCCTCACAGGGGCCGATGGGAGTTGCAGTCCAAAAACATATGGAGGGTTCTAGGTTGGCCAAGGCTGATCTAGATATAAATCGAGGTAGCCTACTCATCAAGGAGGTAATTGATCAGGCACTCTTTTCTTACCATCCAAGGTAGCCAACAAGGTCTTTGTTTCGGAGAGCACAGCCTCCCCCTTTGAGAGCGATGAGGATGCCTGTGTGTGGGCGTCATTTGTCCTTTGCCATAGCTACAAAAAACAAAAAGGATCAGGGTTTTCTACCCCCACCTGTTTTGCCTATTTGTTTATTTCACAAGGTTTATATACTGTTTAATTATAATAAAACCTCTAACGAGCCACACACAAAAATTAAAACTTTAAAGCTATCAATAAAATACACTTAAAAACAGGTATTAAAAACATTCACAAGATAATTAAGTAAGGATTAAAAGATTAAAACACAGGTTGGCTTGACCTGAACAGCCTTGATTAAACAAAAATGAAGAAATTCTCTTAAGAAAGAGAGTGAGAGAGTGGTTGTTAAGAAAGAGGTCGGACTACAATTAATTGTAATAGTAGTCCCAAAATGCATTCACAGTGATCCAGCAATTTTTTTTTTACAAATGCAGGTGATTTGGACCATGTGCACTGAGAGCTCTCCCATTCACTGTGGAAGCTTCAATTGAGGGAGGTCTTCACACGTGTTCCTGTAGGCATAAAGGTAAAGGCAAAGGGACCCCTGACAGTTAAGTCCAGTCGAGGACGACTGTGGCGTTGTGGCGCTCATCTTGCTTTACAGGCTGAGGGAGCCGGCATTTGTCCACTTCTGCAGACAGTTTTTCCAGGTCATGTGGCCAGCATGACTAAGCTGCTTCTCGCGAAACCAGAGCAGTGCATGGAAACACCGTTTACCTTCCCGCTGAAGTGGTACCTATTTATCTATTTGCACTTTGACGTGCTTTCGAACTGCTGGGTTGGCAGGAGCAGGGACCGAGCAACGGGAGCTCACCCTGTCACGGGGATTCGAACTGCTGACCTTTTGATTGGCAAGCCCAAGAGGCTCAGTGGTTTAGACCACAGTGCCCCCATCTGCAAAATGGATAAGTGTTGAAGCCATGTATGCAACCAGAAAACAACTCCTCCTCCAACTCATTCATTTGTATAAATATTCCTCAAGGTTTGTTTTAGCTATGTTCTGAGGATCCTGGAGAATCTTATGAGGTCAGTATTTTGGCATTGATCCTAAAGCATTCTCAGTCAAGCTGGGAGAGAGGGAATCCGAGGGTCATTTTCAGGATTCAATATCATTAAATTAGATTTGCCAATGTCACTTTTGGGGCTCTTCATGGCAGACGACCTCCTTTGTTTTCCACTTGCCTAAGAAAAGCAGCTCAGAGCAATATGCCCATTACTAACATGATTACTGTCTTAATTTTTCCTGCTGCTATTTGGTTGTTTTTATTCTGTTGAGAGACAGGGAGGTGTAATGGTTAGAGCACTGGCCTGGGACTAGGGAGACCAGGGTTTGAATTCCCACACAGCCATGAATATTATCTTGGGTCAGTAACTGCCTCTCAGCCTAACTTTATGCCAACCTAGCAGTTTGAAGTAGTGCAAGTAGATAAATAGGTACCAATGCGGTGGGAAAGTAAATGGCGTTTCCAGGTGCTCTGGCACTCGTCACGGTTCTCTGTGCACCAGTAGTAGTTTAGTCATGATGTCCACATGACCTGGAAAGCTTTCTGTGGACAAACACCAGCTCCGATGAGCGCCGCACCCCATAGTTGCCTTTGACTGGACTTAGCATCCATGGGTCTTTTACCATTACCTACCTTACCTCACGGGACGCGGGTGGCGCTGTGGGTTAAACCACAGAGCCTAGGACTTGCTAATCAGAAGGTTGGCGGTTTGAATCCCTGCGACGGGGTGAGCTACTGTTGCTTGGTCCCTGCTCCTGCCAACCTATCAGTTTGAAAGCACGTCAAAGTGCAAGTAGATAAATAGGTACCACTCCAGCGGGAAGGTAAACGGCGTTTCCGTGTGCTGCTCTGGTTCGCCAGAAGCGGCTTAGTCATGCTGGCCACATGACCCGGAAGCTGTATGCCAGCTCCCTCGGCCAATAAATCAAGATGAGCGCCGCAACCCCAGAGTCAGCCACGACTGGACCTAATGGTCAGGGGTCCCTTTACCTTTACCTTACCTCACCTCACAGGGTTGCTGTGAGGGGAGAACCATGTACATCACCTTGAGCTCCTTGTGGGGGGGGGTAGTATATAAACTAAAAGCTTTTCTGTGCACGATTATTATTCATTCATTCGTAGCACCCTGAGGTGCCTTGAATGATGGTCAGGGGTGTTGTGGGCAGCCCTGGCTTCTGTCCCTCTTTCCTTCCATCCCTCCTTTGATGCCCTCTTGCATCTCTGCCTCCCAAAGGCTTGCAGAGCTGTTTGGTGCAGCAGCCCTGGTAGTACATATAATTTTAAGATATACTGTAGTTATGCTAACATAAGCATGCAAGAAGAGCCCTGCTGGATCAAGCCAGTGGACCATCTAGCCCAGCATCTGGGTCTCACAGTGGCAAACCGGACACCTGTGGGAAACCCACCCACAAGCAGCACCTGTCTACAAGAGCCCTCTCCACTCCTGTGATTTCCAGTAACTGGTATTTAAAAGCGGTACTGCCTCCAGCCATGGAGGCAGAGTATTTTCATCATGGCTGGTTGATATTGAAAGCCTTCATCCTCCATGAATTTGTCTAATCCCCTTTTAAAGCCAGTTTGATTGCATTTTAATCTCTCAATTTATTTTGATGCTTTGTTATAAGATTTGTTTTTGCAATCTCAGGAGTGAATGGCACCCTCTTGTGGACACACGTTGCCATTTTTCCAATGTAAACAGCAGCACTCAGCCAGAACACTGAGAGGGATTTTGTACTTTTTAGGATTGTATAGCAGCACCCTCTTGTGGACAAGTGTTGCCATTTGGTCAATGCAGACAACAGCACTCAGCCAGAAGAAGAGAGGGAATTGTGTCATTCCTGCCAGTGCAAATTGTCCTGGTTAGAAATGAGATGCAGCCCCAAGCAGAGAGTAACTCACTTGTTCCAACTCCTTCATCCTCTGAGCCACGCCCTCCAGTTTGGCCTCTACAATAAGAGATCCATTGGCCACCAGGTGTTTCTTCTGTTCTGCCAGGTGCTCCAGTTCATTGGCACAATGAGTAAGATTTTCAGCCTGCTGAACCAAGGGGTGCTGTATGAGGAAATGCCAGAAGAAGTTTAATTTCTATTAAGCGATCTGACCCAAACAAGATGGTTTGTTGTCATTGCCACCACTCAGTGGCTTTCAAACTGGCAATACAGTGGTACCTCAGGTTAAGTACTTAATTCATTCCGGAGGTCCGTTCTTAACCTGAAACTGTGCTTAACCTAAAGCACCACTTTAGCTAATGGGGCCTCCTGCTGCTGCTGCACTGCCAGAGCACGATTTCTGTTCTCATCCTGAAGCAAAGTTCTTAACCCGAGGTACTATTTCTGGGTTAGCGGAGTCTGTAACCTGAAGTGTCTGTAACCTGAAGCGTATGTAACCTAAGGTACAAAAATGAAACTAAAAACCCCATAGAATAAAAGCAAATTAGTAAAAATGGCATGATACCCTTAGTAAAACAGCAATGGGAGATTATAAAAAGCAATCAGTGAACAACAGTTTTCTACCTGGGTATTAGTAAAGTTTCCAGGGGAAACTATAATTAAATTGGAAACTGTGTCAGCCAATAACAGCCAAATAGACTCCTCACAAGAATGAGGGATGTGGGGGAGAGAAAAACCTTTGCCACCTCATTTTTAAAGGTAAGAGCCATTCCCCAGATTCTTAAAGTTCATCCCCACAACCCAAAGTCACTGGGTTGCATTCAGCTACCTCCTATTCAGAGTAAATCTATTTAAACTAATAGGAATAAGTCATGTCCATTGGTTTCAATGAGTCTACTTTGTGTAGGACTGCCATTGGCTACAACCCATGGCATACCTCCCTCCCCCCTTTTTTATGTGGCATGGTCCTGTGAAAGGGGGCAGGGGGTGTATTTAGTGCACATTTATTCCCCACTGCTCACCAGCTCTATGACACTGATCTGCGTGAGGTTCTTTGCCATGTTGCCCTGATGGACTGAAGCAAAAGTCTCCTCAGCTTTGGCTGTAGCCTCTTCCATCTGGAAGCCAAGCTCCTCCTGTGCCTTTTGGATTCTCTGGTAGCTGTGAGAAGATGCCAAAGGAAACTGTGAGCCAATAGGGCAACAAAAGAAATAGAAAATTGATGCAGCATACACAATCACGTGGTCTGGGAATGGAAGTTCCTGAGAAAGACCAGGGGACATTTTTGCTGATTCAAAACTCCCAGTCATTATTTCAGAGTCCCTGAAATCAAAATTTAAAGCTGACATCAAAGAGGAAAATACTAGCAAAACAATTAAGGAGCTGGGTTTTTCTTTTCTTTTTGCACCTCATTTTGCCTAGATCAAAACTTGAAGCAAATTATGATGGTCCCTCATATGATGTTAATTATATGCTTATGAAGATGGCCATAACATTTGTGGAGCAGATGAGCTGGACTGAAAACATCCTCATTGCCTTCAGTCTAAACATATCAGTTCCTCTCTGAGGTTAAGGTTTGTTGAGGGTCAGAGAACACTTGTCTGCATGCTTGCAGGAAAAAATGGCTGCGGATAGCACTGATTGGCTAATAATTAAGATGTTTCTAATACTGTATATCTGTATCTCCTGCCTCCAAGAACTGAGAACAGTGTAACTCAGGGTCAACAATATGATAACTGCAGATGCTTACAGGCTTTGCATTTGGGCACCCACTTGGCCACTGTGGAAAAAGGATGCTGGACTACATCCCCAAGAGCTCACCTCTCTTCCATCTGTCCCCTAAACTCCAGGTTTGCATTGTCCTCTATGATACTCTGCAGAAGGTGGTAGCTCTTCTTGGACAGGAGCATGGCCTTTTGGGCAGTGTCCTCTACCAAGGCTGCAGCCTCCATATGGCTGTGGAGAGAAGAGAGAAAACAGAGTGACTTTGGCATTGCTGGCAATTTCACCAGTCCAATCGCTAGGTAAAGGGTAAAGGGGACCCCTGACCATTTTGTCCAGTCATGGCCGACTCTGGGGTTGTGGCGCTCATCTTGCTTTATTGGCTGAGGGAGCTGGCGTACGGCTTCTGGGTCATGTGGCCAGCATGACTAAGCCGCTTCTGATGAACCAGAGCAGTGCACGGAAACGCCGTTTACCTTCCCGCCGGAGCGGTACCTATTTATCTACTTGCACTTTGAGATGCTTTCAAACTGCTAGGTTGGCAGGAGCAGGGACCGAGCAACGGGAGCTCACCCCGTTGCAGGGATTCGAACCGCCAACCTTCTGATCAGCAAGTCCTAGGCTCTGTGGTTTAACCCACAGCGCCACCCACATCCCTGTCCAATCGCTACTAGTTGATTAATTGGGTGAACTACAGTACTCAGGATTTTGGGGGGCAGAGGAATGTGCTTTAAACATATGGTGTGTACGCAGCATTCATCGTACTCAGGGCCACCCCACTGAAATCAGTGAACACGTTAGTCCATTCTAAGTTGGAACTTATATATTCAACTGTGAATATGTGAAACATACCTCTGGGCCAGCACTCTAGACTCCTGTGCCTGTTGGGTCCAGTTGGTGGGCTGGTGCGACATCTCAGCAGGAAACTCCTTTAAGGGAAAGAGGGAAAATCCTCTGGTTTTCTGGAGAAAACTCTCTTCTCTGGCAATACACTTCTGAAAATAATATACTCCTTGCAAGCTTCCCATAAACACAAGATGTGGGGCTAGAACATCAATGGGGAACCTCTGGCTCAGTGGCCTGATTAAGCCTGCCAGAATCCCCATTTGGCCTGCCAGGCCATTCTGGCCAAGCTCACCTGCTCTACACTGCCTTCTGATATGATGCCAAGCGTGCAGCAGGTAAAGACGTAGCTGTATATCAGGCTTCATAAGCTCTGACTATCAGCCAATTGTCAGGATCTGTGAAGCCCAGCGGACAGTGCTCTACGAATTCCAGATACAGTGGTATCTGGTGGTCAGTGGGGCTGGTGGGGTGGTACAGGAAGCAGAGTCAGAGACAATGAGAGGCGGAGTCAACTCATTCTAGTTTTGTCCCTATCACCCTGCTATTTTCTCTACACTGAGACTAAGGAGGAGAAAGTTGACAGGCATGGCCTCCCTCTGGACTGGTTGTAAGTAAGAAGGCAGGAAGGGCGGGGATGGAAAAGGGCAGACTGAGGTTAGTGGGGCAGTGCCCTGTTCTCCCTAATGGACCAGCCTTCAGCACACAGTGATCAGCTGATCTCTGGCACTTGGCGAGCTGTGCCTTTGCCCATGGACGCATTTGAATTCTGCGCCATGCCAGCTCAACTCTCGGTGTGGTACCATGGCATCCAATGTGTCGGTGGCCATCTGGATCTGTTGTTGTGTGGACTGCAGGATGGGCAGGATGTCAGTGAGGAGGAGGCAGCCCTTGGTGCCACTCTGGTTGTCACAGCCCATAATCTCACTGGTGTTCCTCAGCCGGCTCTCTGCATCATGCACTAGGCTCTCCAGCTCAGCAAGCTCTTCTAGGAAAGCCACTTTGGCACCTGCAGGGGACAAAAATAGTTCTTTGCAATGGCTACTTCACATGCTTGGGGCTGTGCCAGAGAAAAGCTGGATATGGAGCATTATGGGATATGTTTGGGGGGCGTGTATTGGATCAACTCCTTTGTAGTGAAGAGGTACGTAGCGTATTGTGCATAGAGTGCAGGGCAGGAGGGTACAACATTTTAGCCTCTGCAATTGACCAGAGAACCAAGGGAAGCTGCTCCCTCTGCCTCGCAGGAAGAACATCATGGCTAGGGAGAGACTAACCTGGCTGTATCCATTGGCGAAAGAATGACCAGCTACAGGGCATTGTAAGGGCTGGGGGAGGACTGTAGCTCAGTGGGTGAGCATCTGCCTTGCATGCAAAAGGCCCCAGGTTCAATCTACAGCTTCTCCAGGTAGGGCTGCCTGAAACCTGAGACAGCTGCTGCTGTCCAGTGTAGACAACAGTGAGCTTGGCAGCCCAATGGCTTAAGGTAGCTTCTTACATTCCTTAGAGCTTGTTTGCTTCCTTCCTGGCAGAAGGAACACTTCTGGGAACTTTATAACCAATGCTTCTTTCAGGGGGCTCTCAAGGGTACACAGTACCGGCACCTTTTTTTTCTAGAAGAAAAGCACTGGTTAAAAGTGTGGCAATTACTGTAACAACTTCATGGTGAGTACCAGAACCCTTTTTCTAGAAGAAAAGCACTGTTTTTAAGCAAAAATCAGTTCTAGTTGTTGTCTTCCTCAATCTCAATTCCTTTTCCTTTTTGTTGTGCCTTTTAGACTGTAGGCCTGCCAATCACCTTTTCTCTCCCATTTTTGAGCAAGGTGTGGAACCAGATGGACACACGTGAAATGCACATGAAGAAGACACAGAATGATCCATTCATCCATATACTTGACCTTTTTCAAGGCAAATCCTAGGACACTCTTGAATTGCTAGTTTGCTTTGGGAGGATTCTCTGTTGGTGGGTCCCTTCTAGATATTTCATGTGCTCCAACAGAAAGGGAAGACCCCTTTCCCACCCACCCAATCTCTTTACCTTTCAACAGATAACGGCTGTGGAGAGTGTCACCCCGTGGTGAATCCCGCAGCATGGCAGAATAATAACGTGCCCTCATCACGCCACAATTTGGTTTCTCCAACCATGACTCCATCTTTGTCAACTTGGCCTTCAAATTGTCTGCCTGCAGGGAGAAAGAGAACAATATGGGATGGCTTTTCAGGGAAGACATACATAATAGAAAAAGACAGCCTCACGGTGCAACCCTGAGCTTGGGTTCCACAACTTGCTGCTTGCAGAGGAAATGAGGCTGAAACAAGATGGCTTTTGGGAAGAAATGCAGACATGATAGTAAAAGACAGTGGTACAGTGCAAAGGGTAGAAAATAGTTTATTTTATTAAGTTTAGGCAACTTTCCCGGGCAAATGCTTGTCTAAAATGTCTTAAGCTCAGAAATGATGAGAGATAAAAAGGGCAATACGAAAATGTAAAACTTGAAACTACCACTCAACAACACAGTCTTAGAAATGAATACATGTATTCAATCCAGAAATTTATCAAATTTTTAAACTGTTCCTGGTTCTTGGCAATATCACAGGGGCCAATTAGCATCACACATAACCAGATGCTGCTTCATATTTGTATATAAATGCAACTAAATCAACAAAAACGTTGGTTGACTAGCCATAAATTTGACTAAATTACCTAAATTTAAGTATTACTGCCTAGCCGCAGTAATTCATGATGTAGTAACTTCTAATTTGATTGCCACAATGCATTCTACATGGGGCTGGCTACCCTTGAAGACAGTCCAGATGCTGCAACTGTTAGAGCGCTGAGTGGTGTAGCCAATCACACCCATACAACACCAATTTTAAAGGAGCTGTACTGGTTGCATATATGCTACTGGGTCCAATGATGCTAACTTATGAAATACTTAAAAAACCTGGGACCCAAATAACTGAAGAAGTATCTTTCCTTATGCCAACCTGAACAGGCCCTAAGATATGCTAAAGAGTGTTGGGTCTACTGTATAGTGACATGGGATAGAACCTTCTCACCAGCGGCACCCCACTTCTGGAACTCCCTCCACTTGGAAGTTTATATGGCACCTTCCTTTGCCTTAAGACTTAGCTGTTCAGGCAGGCTTTGGTGGGCGTTCTGAGTTGAGTGGCTGGTGAGACCAGCTCAAAATGAAATGCTCTGTTTGCCCACAGAAATACAGCTATCATAATTGTTGATTTACATGTTTGGTTGCATTAACTGGTTTATGATTGCTATTGCTGTTGTTTTGTTGTTTTGATACCAGGGATCTTAAGGGATGGACAGTAGTCTAGAAATATAGTAAGGAAGTATTTTTGTTTTTAATGGGGTTAATTGGCTGACTATACATTTAGCAAATCTGACTAAAATGTCTGATTAGCTGATTGGCTGACTGACTGGCTGATGCAAGCAAGCAAGCAAGCGGTGGGTTTTACCTCTTCCTTCACGAGACTGTAGCAAATAGGGCACTCCAGGCACTGATTGCTCCCAGGGTCATAGAAGTGGTTCACTTTGCACTGGTCACACTTGTACCCCACAAAGCCGTGCTTGCACACACATGTGCTGTTGTCATGGCACTGGAGGGAGACAGAACCGAGCTGGGAGCAGTTGCAGGCTGGAAGTAAGAAAACAATATGTGTGACTCTTAATTTGGAGACAGCATGCATGGGAAGGAGGAATAGAAGGGGAAAGGACATAGTCTGGTGATAGAGCACCTGCCTTGCATGCAGAAGGCCTCAGGTTCAATCCCTGGCATCTCCAGGCAGGAATGGGAAAGACCCCTGAGTCTAAAATCCCTAAGAGCCACTGCCGGTCAGTGCAGGCAGTACTGAGCTAGACAGACCAGTGGTCTAACTTGGAATAACATCCCACCTTTCCAGCTTTTGGGGAGGCTTCCAGAGGTGGGAAGAGAAATAGTGAGATTTCTTTTTAGGACAATGGAGTATCTCCAGCTCAGATGATTCTTAATATTTCTCAGGGCCACTTATTCCTGCAGGGTGTTCAATATCACTGTAATTTATGTGGTAAAAATGCATAGTTCATTCGCTCCCATAAGAGACAATGATGGGCACCAACTTAGATGGCTTTAAAAGCAGATTAGACAAATTCATAGAGGATAAGGCTATCAGTGGCTACCTGCCATGATGATTATGTTCTGCCTCCACCATCAGAAGCAGCAAGCCTTTGAATATCTGCTGCTGGGAACTCAGGTCCCCCCCTTAAAATGTTTGACGGGGCTGGAGGGACCCAAAGTTGATGGGCATTGCTGCCTTTCTTTATATTCCACCTTTAGACTTTGTTTCCCAACAAGCCCTGTAAACGAACTTGTAAAAGGATTGCTGGATGGCAAGAGAGCAAAAACCATCAACATAATTTCTTATTTATCATTTCACCATTTACCCTCCCCATAAGTGGGCAGGGTAAAGCTCTCCTCCTCCTCCTCCTCCTCTTCTTTCTACCCTTTACCCCAAGGACCCAGGGCTCACTACAACAATTGAATCACAATATTTAAAAGCAATTTAAATTAAAGCCTACTGTCACCGAAATAAGGTGTCCTAAAAATATGCCCAAGCAGGCAAATACATAATTTTGCAGCAAGCACTTGTTGATTTGGGTTGGGGGGGGAGACTACCAGATGCCTAGAAACTTGGGCTTGGAGAGAGTTGGGTTCAGAATAGCCTTGGACCAGCTGCTGTTTTTGAAAACAATCAACCTCACAGAACTGTTTTAGGGATAAAAAGTGGATTGAGTAGGGAATAATCCATCTCACCAGTTCTAGGTACCTCTGTTGCTAGGACCTGGCCCCCATATTTTTTTTTCAAACTGGCGCCCCTGCAGGATATCACCAACGGGGAGAGTGCTGTTGGGTCCTGCTTGCCGTTTTGCACAGACATCTGGTGGCCACTGTGAGAATGAGATGCTGGACTAGCCTTTAACCTGATCCAGGCTCTTCTGCAGGATATTCCACATTGTGACTAATTTATCAGTCTCCACCCCATCCTTTTATGGCAGATCCTCTTAATCAGTTGCATTCCAGTGGAGTGCAGGGAGGAAGCCCAAAGAGAAAGAGAGCCCTGCATCCATGACAAGACATTATAGCAAACTGTGAAGACGCTCAATCAGGCACTGGAGTTACCTCGGCATCCTTGGAATGAGAAGCCAAAGAAACCAGCTTGGCACTGATCACATGACACACCTTCCACGCCAGGTTGACAAGAGCATTGCCCTGTGAGCGGGTGGCAGCGGCTGTGTTGAGAACCTACTGGGTGACATTGGCAACTGAGGAGGGGGAGAGAGGGAGAGATAGAGAGAAGAAGAAACAGCTTAGAACCAGGTTACTCAATGGCCTGCTCATATAATCCTGTCTCTGTGCCAGTGGTTCTCAAAGGGTGTGGTTTGCCACAATGGTGTGGCAAGAGAGGATGGCAAGTATGGCGGGAAGATTCAAGGACAATCGAAGGAAAATAACAAACATCTCAAGGTAGTAGGGTAGATTATGCCATCACAATATTATTTGTATTTATTTGCAGAATATGGAAATATAGCTTTTCAAAATCCAACAATGCTACGAGTTGTTTCTTTTTGTTTTCCAATGTATTTCTTATCAATAAAAATAGAAGTGGTACAAGCAAATGTTTATTCTGAAAATATGACCCAGAGGAAAACTTTGAGAACCATTGCTCTGCCCTAAGATTTGCTTCCAGGTCCTTCTCAACCACACACTGTTAAGATCGGTTAAGTTGGCTCAGAAAAGATACCGGACATCCTATGTGGTGTTAAAACTATGAGACTGCCTGCCTGCCCTAATTAATTAAATTTATACACCACTTGACTGTAAATAGAACCTCAGTGTTTTACTGATAATTTTATTTTATTTTTTAAAAAAAATATCAATAAAACACAGGTTCTATTTACAGTCAAGTGGTGTATAAATTTAATTAAGTTTTGTTTTGTAAATATCTGTGAGGTTTCATTTGCAATCGATTAGTACAGTAATTCTGAAAAAACAACAACTCCAAAATGGGAAAAACCTTTAAGGAAAGTAAAACAAATACTATAATTATCAATAAAAGACAAAGTTCACTGCCATAGCAAGAAATCTTAGCAAGTATGTATGACGAGGTTGTTCAGCTCCATAACTAGGGCATATTTGTCACAATATTGAACTCCAATCAGCAGCACAAAAGTAATCAGAATATGTTTAACCACAGACTAGGCTATGGGAAGAGGCTGTAGCTCAGAGGAAGAGCATCTGCTTTGCATGCAGAAGGTCACAGGTTCAGCCTCTGGCTTCTCCAGGTAGGGCAAGGAGAAAAACCTGCTTGCAATACTGGAGAGCTGCTGCCAGTCAGTGTAGACAATATTGAGCTAGATGGACCCAATGGTTTAACTCAATATAAGGCAGGTTCCTTCTATATTACTTATTCCCTGCCTGATTTTTCTCTAAAAATCATTTTCTCCCCCACCCTTCCTTCCCACCCACTCCACTTGATTACCTTTTGCAACCCTTTCCTGGCTGGAGGTCATAATAACCTGCTTGGCATTGGCTGCAGTCCCGCCCAGTCACATGGGGGAGGCAGATGCACTGACCGGTGACATCATCACAAGTCGCTGCTCCGTTGGTAGAGCCTCCAGGGTTACACTTGCAGGCTAGGAAGGATGAGAGGAGGGAAAATGCATTCTTACACTTAAATACTTGGTGGGCTAAGCCTACTGGTCTTGACACAACCCAGGCCCCCCATTCAACAAGCAACCCATATTTGTTGTGTGCATTTAAAATCTAAATTTTCCATTATGCTGGCTTTTTTGTTTTTTAAAAAATAAATAGTTTTTATTGTTTTAAACCTGGGTGGGGAGCTTCTTTTGGCCTTAGGGCCACATTCTATTGCATTCAACATTCCAAGGGCCAGATACAAATGGATACTCCATCCTGGCAGTGGGCCACGGCATGCAGAGCAGTCCGAGGCTGAGCCACTGCCAGGCCAAGTGGAGGCAGGACCCCAGCTCCTACCTGATCTTTGCTGTGATGGCCTGATCTTTGCTGTGATGGCCCTGTGATGGCGCTTCTGGGGCACAGTGCCCTCCCAAGCATGTGCATGCCCCCCAAATCAAAAAATAAATAAACCCCAAACCCGGACATTTCCATTAAAATGTAAAAATCCGCCTGGATGGGCATGTTGGCCACCCAAAACAGGATATGTCCTTATATGCAATTGTTCTAGAGCCACTTCATAGAAGTGGCCAGGGCCAGAAGCAAAAAAAGGTGGGGCAATGAATGCAAATTTTACCTTTTTACAATAGGGTTGTTTCTACACACATTTACATCCCTCTCTATCCAGGCCAGGCAAAAACACTCCTTTAAAAATGATTAAGATAGTGTTGTCTGAGGTTTCCCACCTGTGTTGTAATTTATGATTTTGTGGAAACCATAATTTTATGATTATTTTTCCTTTTTAGTTGCCTTTGAAGTGTCCAGAAACATCAATTTGTTTAAAGAGGATTAGCTCCAGAAGGCAGCAAGGCTGGACATTCACCAGGGCACCAACGTTAGCAACAGGGCCCACTGCTCTTGCTACAATTTCCATTTAGCACAGGAAATCCAGGAAGACTGGATGCAGCCTAAAAGAATTCTCAGTTTCCATATTTTGCGGCTTCCATGTTATGGGAGAGTCACTGAAGGTGTCGCGCCGATAAGCCCACGTGGAAGTGGGCAGGACACAGGGCCCCCTCTTTCTTTTAAAAATGGGGAAATAATATCTGACCTACGCCAATGTCAGAGCATCTCTCCAGACACAGGAGGGTGATAAAGGCATAATGAAAAGAGATACTTTCCAAGAAATATAGACTCCTTTCTTTATCTATGTTAATGACCAAAATCAAGATCAAAGTTGGGAGTTGAACATTTGCAGTGATGTGACCTAGAAGTAAAGCAGCAAGCTGGAGAGAGAGAGACAGAGCAACATTTGAGAGCAAAGTTTGATTTCTGTTTGAATCCAAGGCTGCAACTGTAGGAGAAACAAGACCCTTTTGGGGTGTTGATGCTGTGAACCCCTCCATCGTAGGCTCAGGTAGTTCAAGTTCAAGTTCAAGTTTTATTGCGGCAAAAGCCAGTGACACTAAACATCACAAGATCAAACAAAAAGAAATCAACAACAACATCAGGGGGGGAAAAAGGATTACACAAGGGAACTTCGCAATGTGCCATTCAACAGAAGAGATTTACGCTTCCTGATTACTAAAGTGCAAAATTTGGCCACCTCATATGATATTGAGCTTGAGGAATCTTCCAGAAGGTATTTTCGTAGGAATTCGGGAGAGGATTCCAAATAGTGTTGTAGGGGTATAAATTTTGATAAAAGCGGCAAGATAAGTTGAACTCATTCTTCACTATAAAATTCGCAAAATAGAAGGATGTGTGTGACGGTTTCTACCTTATTAGACATACAGGGGCAGAGACGCGCATGCATTGGTACCCGCGTGAATTTGCCGTACAGCACTGCTGAGGGCATTGTCTCAAAACGGGCTCTAGAGAAAGCCCATCTATAAGCTTCGTTAGTGATGTTAGTTAGGTAAGGGGCAGCTGCAAAGTTAGGCCAAGCTTTTAAACATCTATACGCCTCCGGGAGTAGGGCGACTTCTTGTTGTAATTCGACATCGTAAAGTCTCTGAGTGATAATTGCTTTTGCCTTGTTCAGAGTTCCAATAAAAAGATTTTCAGGGTTTAGGCCAATTTGTTTGATCTTATTAGTTATTTGCATAAGCCAAGGAGGATAGGGAACTGCGGCCAGGAAGCAAGGTAACAGTCCCTTAGGATTGTAATGGATTTTCAGCCAGAGGGATATTGCTTGCTCCCAGACTTTTAATTCCACTCTGGGCAGTCCTGCCTCTTGCCTTAAGACTACATTAGGTGTACACTTTGGGGTAGCAAATAATGATCTTAAGAATTTTGATTGTACTGTTTCAAGGGTCTTAAGGTTGGCAGAGGGGCTAATTTGAGAGCCATACAGGAGTTGGGCTAAAGATTTTGCCTGAAAAACTTTTAGGGCCATCGGGAGGAAGCCAGCTCCTTTCCTTCTGAATAATCTAAGGATGGCATTTGCACTTCTTTCTGCTGATATAGCTGATGTGGTCAGGTGTGTTGACAATTTGGCATTATAAGAGAAAGTAATGCCTAAGTATTGGAAGGTCTTAGACTGTTCAATGGCGTTTCCCTTTACGCTCCAATTATCTTGCTTCCTTGCTTGCTTCCGGTATGATGGCGACCAGCACTCTACTAATGTGAGCCCGTTGATTTTATCTTTTTATTCTCTCTTACTCCTTTTAAAGACTATTTTAAAGACTATTTTAAAGACTTTTAAAGACTATTTTAATGAACACTGAGCTCAGATAAATTTAAGCACCTCACCGCATTCTATCCCACGCTTTGTATTCCTGACTCTTCTTGGAAGTTTAAAGCTGAATTGACTATCTTATCACATTGCGAAGAGTTTACAGGAAGATTCATGGGCTGTTCCCACCACAAGTTTGGAGGCACAGACGGAACATAATTTAGTGTTATGCCAATAACCTTTGGCACACTACTCCTCCTTGAATAGGATACTTTCAAGGAAAATATTCCCTCGACTCTTTGAAAAACCTAGGGAAGATAAAAGAGCGAGGTAAAGGGAGAGATGACTCAGCAATTAGACAGCCCTGCTGATGCGAGGAGGGGGATTGGAAATCGCTGCAGAGAATCTGAGGACTTAGAGGAAATGGCATGTTTGCCTCTCACCAAGCAAACCAAAATCAGCGAATTCTTTTATGGAAAAACAAAGGATACTTTTAATATTCCGACCTCGAATAGCTTCTCTCCATTAGCAGAGATAGAATCATAGAATCATAGAATCATAGAGTTGGAAGAGACCACAAGGGCCATCAAGTCCAACCCCCTGCCAAGCAGGAAACACCATCAGAGCACTCCTGACATATGGTTGTCAAGCCTCTGCTTAAAGACCTCCAAAGAAGGAGACTCCACCACACTCCTTGGCAGCAAATTCCACTGTCGAACAGCTCTTACTGTCAGGAAGTTCTTCCTAATGTTTAGGTGGAATCTTCTTTCTTGTAGTTTGGATCCATTGCTCCGTGTCCGCTTCTCTGGAGCAGCAGAAAACAACCTTTCTCCCTCCTCTATGTGACATCCCTTTATATATTTGAACATGGCTATCATATCACCCCTTAACCTCCTCTTCTCCAGGCTAAACATGCCCAGCTCCCTTAGCCGTTCCTCATAAGGCATCGTTTCCAGGCCTTTGATCATTTTGGTTGCCCTCCTCTGGACACGTTCCAGTTTGTCAGTGTCCTTCTTGAATTGTGGTGCCCAGAACTGGACACAGTACTCCAGGTGAGGTCTGACCAGAGCAGAATACAGTGGCACTATTACTTCCCTTGATCTAGATGCTATACTCCTATTGATGCAGCCCAGAATTGCATTGGCTTTTTTAGCTGCCGCGTCACACTGTTGGCTCATGTCAAGTTTGTGGTCAACCAAGACTCCTAGATCCTTTTCACATGTACTGCTCTCAAGCCAGGTGTCCCCCATTTTGTATTTGTGCCTCTCATTTTTTTGCCCAAGTGCAATACTTTAATAGATAATAGATAATAGATAAGGAAACTACACCGAAGGAACTATCCGCTAAACAACCCACTAACCCCTTAAACAACCACCATCACGAGACCAAAAGGTCCCAAAAAAGTTCCAACTAAGCCCATTCAGGCGGAAGACTGCATCAGAGAACAAGAAAACCATCTCTCTGAATTACTACTTGAACACTCTACCACGTTAGACCTAGTGGCTAAAACCGTGGGAGAGCCAGTTTGGTGTATGTTAAGAGCTGTGGACTCGTAATCTGGTGAACTGGGTTCGATTCCCCGCTCCTCCACATGCAGCTGCTGGGTGAACTTGGGCCAGTCACACTTCTGTGAAGTCTCTCAGCCCCACTCAGTTTACAGAGTGTTTGTTGTGGGGGAGGAAGGGAAAGGAGAATGTTAGCCGCTTTGAGACTCCTTAGGGTAGTGATAAAGCGGGATATCAAATCCAAACTCCTCCTCCTCCTCCTCCTCCTCCTCCTCCTCCTCCTCCTCCTCCTCCTCTTCTTCTTCTTCTTCTTCTTCTTCTTCTTCTTCTTCTTCTTCTTCTTCATGACTGTTATGGTTCTGGACAGTTAAGAGTTAACACTCCAGGAGCGTTCTTATTAACTGGGTGCACTGCCCACATGACACGGGCATTTTCCTTTGATCTGTGCTCTCTGGGGGCTGCTGAGAACAGTCCGTCTGAGAAAGTGAGCAAGGTAGTTTGTTTTGTTAGAGACAGAAAGCTGCAAGCATGCAGCTAGATTCTGTAGGTTTTTCTTTTCTGTTTTTGTATGCTTCTAAATAAAGAGTGATGGGACATGGGTGGCGCTGTGGGTTAAACCAGAGAGCCTAGGACTTGCCGATCAGAAGGTCAGAGGTTCGAATCCCCGCAATGGGGTGAGCTCCCGTTGCTTGGTCCCTGCTCCTGCCCACCTAGCAGTTCGAAAGCACAAGTAGATAAATAGGTACCGCTCTGGCGGGAAGGTAAACGGCGTTTCCGTGCGCTGCTCTGGTTTGCCAGAAGCGGCTTAGTCATACTGGCTACATGACCGGGAAGCTGTACACCGGCTCCCTCGGCCAATAAAGCGAGATGAGCACCGCAACCCCAGCGTCGGTCATGACTGGACCTAATGGTCAGGGGTCCCTTTACCTTTACCTTTAAGAGGCTTCCAGTTGCCTTCTGAGTTAAGGCTGTGGCAGATCCCGACCCACCTCTGTCCCTCCTTCTCTCACCTGCCTCTAGGGCACGGATGTCATTCCCTTGCTGACCTCTGTGCTGAAAGACCCCGAATGCTTCAGTGACCCCGAGAACTTCAACCCAGCCCACTTCTTGGATGAAGAGGGTCGCTTTAAGAAGAATGATGCCTTCATGCCCTTCTCCACAGGTACCGGGTTGAGGAGGGCAGGAGGGAGGCATTCATAGGTTAATTGGTGGGGGTACTTGGCCTGACCAAAATGCTATTTCATCCCTCAGATCTCCCCCTCATAATCTACAGTGGTACCTCGGGTTACATACGCTTCAGGTTACATACGCTTCGGGTTACAGACTCCGCTAACCTAGAAATAGTGCTTCAGGTTAAGAACTTTGCTTCAGGGTGAGAACAGAAATCGGGCTCCGGCGGCGCAGCGGCAGCAGGAGGCCCCATTAGCTAAAGTGGTGCTTCAGGTTAAGAACAGTTTCAGGTTAAGTACGGACCTCCGGAACGAATTAAGTACTTAACCCGAGGTACCACTGTATTTCCATAAAAATTTTGTTTGAAGTCTCTTAAATGAACACGTTTTTTATCATGAAAACTCTGCACATTTTGCTCCTGGCACAAGTAGTAGCTTTGGTGGGGGGGGTTGTCATTGCAACCACACGAGGGAGTTTTTCATCTGCCCCCCACCCCTCATTAGCCAGCTGCTGCTACCCCTCCCCAGACCACAGAGCCTAGTTTCCAGCCAATATCCCACATACAATCACCCCTCAGGTGGCAGAAAAGTTGAATTGTTTCTCACCCGGCTAAACTCCAGCCTCTTTCACAGCATGCAAAAGCCTCTTGCTCTGTTGACTTGTGTGCAGAGGCGTGGCTGTTTTAGAATGCTTAAGTTGCCTTGTGACTCAATAAGATGGCCTAAAAAAATCTTATTAAATAAATAAAATTAACACCTAGATAGATTTTGATTGATTGATTGGACTCAGTCTGACCCTTATGTTTCCCTCCCCTTATGGTTTTGATCTATGGGCTATTATTAAAATGAGGCTGCATTTTAAATTGTATTTTTAACCTGTATTTTAATTTTTCCCCCTTCCCCTATTATGTTTTTATTGTAATTTTATTGGTGTTAGCCGCCTTGAGCCCAGCTCTGGCCAGGGAGGGAGGGGTATAAAAAAAAGTATTATTATTATTATTATTATTATTATTATTATTATTAGGAGGTCAGGCCAGAGTTAGAAAGATCAATAGACTACCTTTACTGCTACCTTGGGTTTTCTTGGAGGTGGGGGCAGAAAGGGGACATTGCTGCTTTATCAGTGCTTCCTATCACTGGAGAAGAGACCAAAGCAGTACAGTACCTCGGGTTACATACGCTTCAGGTTACATACGCTTCAGGTTACAGACTCTGCTATCCCAGAAATAGTACCTCGGGTTAAGAACTTTGCTTCAGGATGAGAACAGAAATTGTGCTCCGGTGGCGCAGCAGCAGCAGGAGGCCCCATTAGCTTAAGTGGTGCTTCAGGTTAAGAACGGACCTCCAGAAAGAATTAAGTACTTAACGTGAGGTACCACTGTAGTGCCCAAATGAACCTGGAAGGAGACCACTCCATGTCTGTCTTAGTTTTATACATCCACGGACCTTGCCACTTGCAGAAGAACGAACCAGATTCCCTCTAGTGGGCATCTGTGGGGTGACATAGTTGTAGGACAAAAAAAGAATGCGCATAGGAATGGCTTGTGCTTCGAAGCATTTTGTCACTTCAGACGCGGAACGCTTTTGACCTTTGTTGACCAGAGATAAAAAAATCTAAATTGATCTTGTCCTACATAAGGCTGCCTCTTATCTCTTTCTGTTTATCTTCCCCGATAGAAGCTGTGTGCCTTTAATGGCAGCATTAAAAGCAGAGCGACTTTCCCTGAGAGGATGGGAAGGAGAGCTTTTAGCTGCTTGGTTTTTTTGCTGCCACACCCCCCCCCCCCGAACTGGCAGGGCACAAGGCCTCAATCTTTGCATATGACAAAGAACTGGGAAGAGCTTGCTTGCAGAATTACAGTGGTACCTGGGGTTACATACGCTTCAGGTTACATACGCTTCAGGTTACAGACTCCACTGACCCAAAATTAGTGCTTCAGGTGAAGAACTTTGCTTCAGGATGAGAACAGAAATCGTGCTCTGGCGGCGCGGCAGCAGTGGGAGGCCCCTTTAGCTAAAGTGGTGCTTCAGGTTAAGAACAGTTTCAGGATAAGAACGGACCTCCAGAATGAATTAAGTACTTAACCTGAGGTACCACTGTAGAGGGATAACTTCTGCACCATCGGAAGACCAAATTTTTAATAAGGAATGGGGAAAATTTACAACTTATCTTAAAGACCATTGTAAACAGTTAAAATCAGTAGTAGGATTGGAGTATCACTTGTAGTTTAAGGTTGAATACTGGACATAATGGAACAGGCAAAGGATTTGGAGTATCATAAAAGATGCGGGAGGAAATGATTAATAATGGGACCCACAAAAGGGGAGGATGGAAGTTCAGGAGATTCCTTGGAATCTTGTTTTAATTATTTATATATCTCTGTAAGAAGACAGGAGGGCCTGGCGTGCTCTGGTCCACGGGGTCACAAAGAGTCAGACACGACTAAACGACTAAACCACCACAACATCATCATCTCTGTGAATTTTTAATTTGAAAAACCTGTGGCATTTGCCTCCTAGTTGGGTCATAAGGAAAGGGTTAAATGAGTGTGATGTGATTGGCCAGAGAGAAACTGATAGGAGGAGTTAGAGTGAGAGTGAAGCTGTGCGGAAGTCAGTTGAGGGTTGGGAGTTGAAGAAGGAAGAGGGAGGTTAAGTCTGTGGGTTGGTGGAGTTGTGTTGTGAGTGAGTAAGAGGTTGTTAGGTAGAGTCAGATAGATAGTTGGAATAAGCAGTTTGAAATTGTTAGGAACGCATATACGATATACAATATCTTTATTGTCATTGTCCCATGCAGAACAATGAAATTGAAAAACTACATAAAAACTACATAAAACATTCAAAAACCCCTAAAAACTCTGAAACCCCATTTTAAAATACACTATACTATGGAGACCCTTTATGCTGCGTTCAGAACCAGAATTGCATTTGGGTAGAAATTGTTTCTCAGGCGGCTAGTCCTGGTCTTTATAACCCTGGACCTTCTTCCAGAAGGCAGAAGCTGAAAGAGATCATTTCCAGGGTGCGCACTATCCTGCGCTATCTCTGCAGCTTTCTCATGACACCTGGAAGCGTAATTTGATCTAAGGTGGGAAGAGTGCACCCAATTATTCTCTCTGCAGTCTTTACAACCCTGGATAGCATTGTTTTTTCCCTGGCTGTGCAGCTCCCAAACCACACACACAGACCACAGACAGTTAAGGAACTAAGATTAAGAAACTGCCAAGAAAAATTAACTGAAACCATAAGCTTGTTCATGCCTATAAATAAACTTGATTATTTGTTAATGTTAACAACTGTCTGGACTCTGTGAGTACCCAAGGGAAATGGGTTGGTGGCAGTGAAGAAAGCAATCACAGTGGTGGCACAGGGTCAATAGACCGTCAAATGTCCGGGGACCCTGTGTGATCGCCACAAAACCAAATAACAATTTGTAAAAAAAAAAAATTAAATTTGCACCATCAAACACCAGACTAAAGCCATAAAGTGCTGTTTGATTCTCTCCGCAGGGAAAAGGATCTGTGCCGGGGAAAGCCTAGCGCGCATGGAGCTCTTTGTCTTCCTGACTTCCATCCTGCAACATTTCAGGCTCAAGTCCCCCGACAACCCCGAGGACATCGACCTCACAGCCACAGCAAACGGTTTTGCAAACATCCCACCCGCCTACCAGCTCTGCACTGTTCCGCGCTGAGGAACGATTGGTTGAGAAGCGGGGCAGGGAAAGGGGCAACAAATTTAATTGGGTGGGGGTTTGGGGGGACACTAAACATTACGGGTGGTGCCTGGGAGGTAGTGGCCAATGTGCTATAATCCATGGAATGAAGCCATACAAATAAGGCTCCTGGACTTTTGGAATGGAAGTTTCAAGGTCTAAGTCAAGCCCCATGGCTTGGTTTTTCTTTATCTGAAATAATGCTACTCAGGAACCAGGTTGGTTTCAGAGGTATATGTTTGCAGTTTGACCTACCTAGTTGCACACCTGCGGTCTCTTGATTTTTTGCCTAATAAAAGGGGAGTTACTTTCTGCACCAGGTGCAGGAAGGAATGTGATAGAATAATTGGTTAATTGAAATTGTATTTATTTATTATACCATAGATATGTGTGCCAACCAAACCTATTATCAAAACCTTCTAAATTCAACAAGTCTGTTTTCTAACAACATCCATTCCTTCAACCAACAGAGGCAAGACGCTTCATAATATAATTTCAAGTCTGGCAAGGTGAAGCCCCCTCTTTCTTTAATGTCTGTTAACAATTCGAATTGGATTCTTGTTTCTTCCCCTGCCAGATATATCTTGAAATTATTTTTTGCCATTCCTTAAATACCACTACCCCCTTGATTATTGGAATTGGTTGAAACAAAAATAACACTTTTGGTAGCATGTTCATTTTGATAACCGATATCCTTCCCCATAAGGATAGTTTCATCCTTCTCCATACTTCCAGATCTCTCTTAATTCCATTCCACATCGTTGTATAATTATTTTGAAATAAATCTATATTCTTTGATGTTAACCAAATTCCTAAATATTTAACTTTTTTAACTGCTTCTATGCCAATCTGCTGTTGCAACATATCCACCAAATCTTGATATTTTAACTAACATTTTAGTTTTCTTTCTATTCCTTCTAATACTTCTTTAACACTGGATAATTGTTCTTCTATTATTAGTACCAAGGCATCTGCAAAGGCTTGAACAGCTTTCTTATCTCTACTCCCCACTCACTGCGCACACTCTGTGTTGGTGAAGTAGCTCAACACGCTAAACGTTACTGGTGATACCTGGGAGGTAGTGGCCAGTGTGCTATAATCCATGGAATGAAGCCACACAAATGAGACTTCTGGACTTTTGGAATGGAAGTTTCAAGTGTCAAGCCCCCTGGCACCCCCCAGGCAAGAAAGACCATGTGATGCTGGGGCTGAGGAGGTGGTGTGGTTGTCCAGAACACCTGGAAGGGACCCTGTGCGGGGGGGGGGGGGAGATGACAAAACCAAAATTACAGGACATCCCAGAGGTGGACAGTACCCTGTGGCTCAGGTCTTTCTGATGATGCCTGCTCTGCTGACTATATTTCAGACCACATCAGCACCATCTTCTCCCTGAATGGTTAGGGTAGCTCTCCCAAAACCAGAGCATCTCTGCAAATGTAGTAAACAGGAACCTGATACTTTGGAGCATTATTTTATTTTCTTGTGGTTTTGGCATTTATGCCAGAAGACAAATATTAGAGGCCTTACTGCTCAACAGGCTCAATTCTATGCTACCAACATTTCAGGACCTGCTCCCGGACAGGAATGATCAAATTACTTTAACAGTGGCTGAATTTTTGAGTGCTGTCCATGTAGAAAGACTGGGCCATTATAAAGAGATTTAGTGGTTCTTAATTGATTGGCGATGTGGTAGTGTTGTCTTGTGTTATATATGTAAATTGATTTTCTCTGGAGTTAAAGATCTGACTGGGACAACCCTTGTTATGTTGAGCTCGTATTTTGCACAATTTGTATACGGTGTCTGTTTGATAATGTGTGGTTTGCTATGCCTAATAAAGGATATAATGTAGTCACCGCTGGCTGTTGTGGAGAGGAAAAATGAGACCTGGATTGCTGTTTCTCTGCTCTGCCGCACAATATTAGAACTTGGGGAAAGTCCAGGGAGACCTGGGCAAGCAGGTTAATTCAGGACAGGCATGAGAATGTCCTTCTTGGACACCAGGCCATGAACCTGTGTCAGGAGCTGGAGTCAAACACAGGACAGCAATAAAAAAAAACTAAGTGAAGTTAACTCTCCATTCAAGAAACAAAACAGCACAGGCCTAGTGATCGCAGCAACTCTTCCCAGTGGGTCCAGAGGGAGGAGAAGCTGGAGAGGTAGCTTCATCAGTTGAAGACCCTCAACCAGCAACTGGAGGAGCAGGCCAGGTGAGTGAGCAGCAGCCTGAGAAGAGCTGCAGTAGGAGCAGCAGAATGAGCCTGCGGATCTGACCTCTCTTTGCAGTGCTTGGACTCGGAGCTGAAGGACAGCCAACCACAGGTCAGAGGGAGGAGAACCTGGAGCAGGAGCAGTGCTGCAGGAGACTGTCTGAGCTAGAAACAGACAATCTTGGAGCTAGAAATGGCTGAGTGCGAGGCTAGGGAAGCCTCCCTTCCATTCTTAATTGCCTAGCCAGTAATTTCCCGGATTTATTAACAAATTCTTCTCCCTTAAGTTTTTATTTCCATTCTACTTCTTGATTTATAATGAGAATTTTCTTAAGACTAGGGATTTCTAAGAAAAGTAATAGTTCTATCAACAATGGAGAGCGATTCTCCAAGGCATAAAGGTATTTATGAGAAACAACAAGCCAGTCTGATAATTAATAGCAGGAAAACAAATAATTTCCCACAGAAAAAGGCACAAGACAAGGCTCCCCGAAATTCAGATTAACTTTAGAAATACTCAACTTGGAACTGAGAAAAGGAAGAAGAAATTAAAGGATTACGACAGGAAAAGAGGTTTTCAAGCTGAAAGCCTTTGCAGACGACATAATTTTAACAGTGGAAATCTGAGTTGAGTATCCCTAAAGCATTGGAAAAGATAACAGAATTTGGCAAGGTCTCTGGTTTTAAGCTAAACAGAACAAAGAACAAATTCATGGTTAAAAATATTCGGATCAGGAGAAAAATATTGTAGGGAAAATTGGGTTTAACCAATTTTAAACCAATTGGTTTAACCTTGTTAACTGAAAGAGTTAAAGGGAGGAAGGGACTCTCCAAGTCCAAATGAGAGACCTTTGCAATTTTCATGGGTGCTTTCCCCACCACCTAGAGCTGCATCTCAATGGCCACTTCAGGCTCTTTAATGTTATAAAGATGCAGGCACTTAGGTCCTATTTGGCTGACAAGAAACCCAGCAAATCTATTACCTCAATGCTTTTGTGGAAGCCCACGAACTGTTTAAGTGCAAGCAAGTGCAAATTGCCAGCAAATGGCTGTGCTGAGAACACCAACCTCCTCCTTATGACGAAAAGAAATTCAAGAGGAACAATTGGATAGATCTCATCCCTTTTATTACCCGAACCGATGGGAAACCTCCCGCTAAGAGCCGGGCAGGAGCAGGGCTGAGATAGATGTAGCGGATCCATCCGCCACAGATCCTTCCAAAACCTACCAGCTCTACGTCGAACAACCCTCTCCAAGCCGCATCGGGAACAGGGGGAGAACCAAGCTGACCCCAACTCAAAAGCCCTACCTAAAGGGGGACCACTGGACGAGGAAGGGAATGGGCCAGTATCTAATCGGACCCGAAATAGAGACAACCTAGTTAATGGAGATGTAGAGAACGTGTTTCCCCTCAGAGACCCGCCCCATA